AACTGTACTATGTCATTCTAGTCAACTTTTTAGTACAGCAGATTGAATATGTTGATAAATTATTAAATTTTAACTAGATATGCATTTAGACACCCATTTATTGTCAAAATATTTGTATTTTTTACTAACCTAACTAATAAAACTACTTTATTTTAATTTGCCACAAGTTATTGTATATCGACATAGTGCAGTTTACCTCCGAGGTAGTTCTATAAAATGGAATGTATGGGTTGATATTCTAAGATTATTAGTACTTGTCATTTTATTTTATAAACTACTAAATGTAATGTAAACTTTTTATAACATTTAACTATAAATTTTATTTATTTACCTTGCAAAACTGTGACTCTTTTCGTAGGTTTTGAATGGGGAAATACTGTTGGGAATGCATTTGCAAATAATCGTTTTCTGGTTCCTGACTGATAAACGAATTTATCCTGGAACTGTAATTTAAAAATTTTGTAACTTTTACTTAAGTGTTTAACACTCTTTCCCAATAAGTTCTCTCTATTTTCTGCCTTAAGCCACAATTATTCAAGTATGAAAAATACATACAATTATTGTACTACAATGTTATGGCAAGGTTAATTCCCATTTCATCCTCAATGTTACATACATACCTCACTGGATCTTTTACAAGAGTGAACAATCCTTCTTTGTCACCTGTTCTTGAGGTACATCCACGATAAATACAAATATATCCTCTTCCTCTTTGACGCGACATTGTTTATAAACCTAATCTTAATACGTACAATTAACACTACACAATTAAAAACAGCAACAAAAACTAAAAATAAACCACTAAAAAAACGTAAAAGTTATCAGAATATTCGCTAAAAACAACCAAAAATCCAAAACGACAAATAAAGACACGACAGGCAAAAAACTGTTGATTTTCTGACAGCGACAGCTTCGTTTATCTGCTACAAAAGTGTGCACTGTTGTACTTCGAACAAGTAACAAATCTACGGTCTCTATCTAATTCGTTGCAAACAGGAGCCTGGAGCGGCACTCCGTAACTAGAAATATGAGAAAGGCAAGATATCTTTTCTCTATCCCGACTTCTTTTGACGTTTTTCTACTCTGTAACTCTCTTCGACTACTTACGATTAAACCGAACATGTACGATTGTCACTGGGGAAAGAGATCGCTAAGACCTCGTCGCTTAATAATATGTCTCGCTTTAATGTATGGAAGGGGTATAACTCTTTCTTTGTTTATATTAAGAACTTGATTTGGCAGTTTTATTTTGACATTTTACTAAATCTTTATTTAGTCTAAATAATTCTTTGAATCTAACATCAGGGGGTCGATTCTCGACTTTTATTCCCATGGGAAAATAAAATTTTCCCATGGGAATTCAGTTTTCGTATTCTCGGCATAAGCGGTGGAATATTTTCCAATGAGAAGTATGGGAAAATATTCCCCTGCTTGCAAGCATTGGAAATTGTGTTTTCCAATGGGAATTGTACTAGAGTTTGCGCATTAAAGTCGAAAATTTGACGAAAGACCACGCGAAAGACTAAGACATAACCAAAGATTATTGGATATCTTGGATTTTTGGTGAAATTGTAGTTAAAACATTTTTTTTGTGTATTTATAAATTGATATTATTTTATTTATGTGGGTATATTATTTTTACCTCTCTTTCACTAAGAAACTGATTTTCTTAAATTAGTTAGAAATTGTGGGAGCTGCTAAGGGACTGGCAAATAGGTAACACAAATTGAGAAATTTGTAGTAAATTTAATAAGACCTTTTCGAAAATTTTATTATTTCCGTTAACGAAAGAATTTCTTATATATATAGTTTCTCGAAACTTTCGTTGCTCTTCTATACAAAAGCTACTTTTTCTTTTTTCAATATGTGAAAAGAAAAACTAAAAATAACTCGATAAGTTTTAATTATACATAATCGAATATTTTCACTTGTCCTCGGTCAAGCTAGCGATTGCTCGGCACGGCATCTGCTCCAGCGCAGAGGCTCGGCAGGTAATCGGTTACCCAAAAACCACAACAAATACAAATAATACCAACAGTAAATTTTAAAATATCTTTAATGTTATTGGTTATTTCGAAATATTCGTGAACTTAATATCAGACATACGTGAAACTATTATTTCCATGGGAATGTCTATTCCGACAAGTTCGAGAATTGCATAACCTATTACCATGGGAATATAAGTAGTGGAATCTTTTCCCATGGGAAAATTTTCCAATGAACTCGAGAATCGAGCCCCAGGAAACCGGAATGGATCACTTGCATCCCTCATTACCCTTTTAGCAATGCATAGTTCATATTTTTGTTGATCATCTTGGGCTTCTTGCATCACATGTCTTATGACAGGATTCATCTTAAAGTTAAAATATAACTATTATACCCAAATTACATAAATTATAAACTTGTTTTCATTAAATAAAAAGTCAAATTACTGGTATAATCTGAAATCACTTTTATTTTCTCTACTTGCCTTTGAACACAGGGTCTGCTTTGAATTAGTGGTAAATAAAAATATTAAAAAGCAGTCGAAAATGAACTTTGATCCAGAATAATCAATGGCGTAATACTATTTTAAGAAATTCCTCGTTCAAAACAAATCCAAATTTATGTAAAAAGTTGGGTTTCTTTTTTTATTTAATGTGTCAAATAGAAGTGAAGCCAACAGTTTTAGGACGAGTAGTTCGTTATTTTAGAAATTTCTCTTCGCGACGGAAACTCCCGATTCACTCCGAATTTAATAAAGAAATTGCTACAGAGTACAAATTTCGATACGGGAAAAAAGAGGAGATTTTTTCTCTTCCCTTTCTCTTTCGTTCTCTTCATTGCAATTTGATACGGAGTGCCACTCCTGGTATCTTTATCTCTCGTTTTAATCGATTAAGGTACTAAACTGTTCACTTTTGACAATGCTTCACAATGAAGAAGGTGTGGCTTCGGTTGCTAGGTTCCTGTTTTAGCCCTATGTCAAAGATTCTTTGCCTATGTTACTTTTCTGTATTATTTTTTATCCTGTGCACCGACCTTTTGATTTTTATTTAAATTTTGATTTCAAGAACTTCACCACCTCAGTATCGTTCAATTTTGATCATAAATTTGATGACGTCAGGAATTTCTATATCAATATCACTTGGGGGGTAAAGGGGTATGTTCTAAATCAACAATTATGGTAATCTGAGTTTAAAGTTTTAATATTCCCTTTTAAATAACGGTTTTTTAAATACCCAAATTTTGTAAGACTTAAATTACTTATATCATTTTTTCCTATTACTTATTGCCCTATTCCAAGGGGTACAAAATGAGTTTAGAAGTATCGCGGCAGATTTAACTCAATTTTGAATATTTTTGACTTATACCCCTTTACTCCCCCCAATAGCAAAAAATTATGTAAATAACAAAACATTGTTTTTTTTTTAATTTTATTATTACATTTCTCAACAGTTCAAAACCCAATTATAGAGTAAGAGTACAAAAATAGATATAATATAATTAAATTAGAAATATACTAATTGAAACTCACGTGAAAAAAAAGCTAAGAGAATTCTTTCTAACATTCCTTGAATATACAGTATGTTTCAAACGAAAGGAATAAATTCATTATAATGGAAGTGATGACACCGATATAAAAAAACCAAATATTAAAATTTACCTTTTATAAAAAATAGTAGAGTATATAAGAATATTTTCTCTAATTTCTTAAATAGAGAGTATATTGCGAAAAAAGTATATTATGAGTAGATTAATTCTTATAGTCAACAAAGCTGATGACACTGATATAAAAAAACAAATATTAAAATTTACCTCTAATAAAAAATAGTAGAGATTATATAAGAATATTTTACTGTAAATACTTAAATAGTTGGTAGTTATTGCGATTCCTTCAATAATATCCTTCCCTTTTAACATTTTCCAATTTTCCTAATAATTGTTTTTCTTTTCAGCGAATATCCGTAACAAAATTTAAATCGCCGCAAATATTTCGAGTTAATCGGTAGCACGATATGAATGGTTTGAGTGTATGTTCATTTCACCTCTAACAATAAAGACGTTTAATCATAGAATGTATATGTCCTTTGATGGTCAATGTAGATCTTTGATTTACATTGTAGCATCTTCGGATGTACCTTCTAGGATCAAATGGACAAGGCTGCAGAATATACTGGCCTGCGATACGTCTATTTTGAAAAATCTAACGTATCAAAGGGTTGTATAGAATTGAACATGACACGATGATCATTGATGTCGTCGGGAATAGAAGATTTTCCGGACGCGGTTATCGGAAAAATTTACTGGAAATACTGTATATTATGGAAAAAAGGAAAGAAATACTGGACCAACTTATGGGATGGAGGGTCAAGGAGCAATGAGCTGTCTAAAATGGTGAGTGTTTTGAATTAAATTGAGATCTTTTTGTAAACAATTAAAATTGAGCCTTTTATTAAAAAAAATGCTAAAAAGAAAGATTTGGCCTGGAGCTGTCCAAGTATATAGCTTTATTTGGTACCATATGAATTTTATCTCCTTTTTATTTTTTTTTAAACTCAGTAAAAATGTTTGATTGTTAATAAAAATTATAAGAGACTTGTACATTTTCAATAATTAAAATAAAACATATAAGGAAGCTTCTTATCTTTATAATTTAAATCACTCACTAGTTATGAATATTATAGATAATAGATGAAATGTACAAATATTTTTCAACTCATTTAAAAGTACTTGAGAATGGTGAGATATAAAACTTCATTGATATAAATTCAAAAATTAATTTAATACGCCTCAAAATTTTAAAAATGTTCAGAATTCTAGTCAATTTAAGAAAGAACTTATTATTTATGTTAAAAATAATTTATGAATTATATAGTTGAAAATTGTTCTTTTTCTCTTCAACTATATTCCATATTTATATAATACTGCCCTACTAAGACAAGAAATCATATCTATAAACATTCTGATTTCGAGATTTTTGACATATTTAATAAGCTTACATTTTATTTTATTATGATACCTATTTGCATTAGAAAACATTTCAAACTATATAAAAAGGTTAGTCAAAACTGCAAAACTTACTTTACAAGGTCTAAAAGAACGTAATTATGTACACTTTCTAAAAATATTTATTATTTTGTCTTAGCAGGGCAGAATAGTTGTTGTACAGAAAAAATTACCTACTTATTAACAAAAACCTCATATTAAATGAACATCACCATTTTTGACCAATTCTGCTACACTATTATAAGAAATAATTACTCTAGATCCATCCTGAATATCAACTAAATCACTTTCGGCATTTCCTTCATCGATGGGCACACCTTCGATTCTTTTTTTGGATTTTAAGAAGACGAACGTGTTGTTATTCGGTTGAATAATTTTATTTGACCATGTGTCCGCAGGTACACCAGGATAAAACCTCATCATTTTGTCGAAATATTGTTCCATAGCTAATAAAACAATACAATTTATTGAACTAATTCAAAAATTATAAACATAAGATAAAAGCTTTAGTGTTTGACAGAATAAGGAAATTCTATAGATTCATTTGAAAATGTATGTAAACTTATATATTCCCAAGCAGCACGGAGACATGATTATAAAAGAAAATTATTTTATATTTATCGTATAAACGCTACAATAGGCACTAATTTAACATATAACTGTTGCCCAAGAAATAAATATGTCTCAGAGAGTCAAATATTTTATTATTTTGTTATATAGATAATTATAAGACTACTTAAAAACAGAGCAAAGTAATGATTTATAAATATTTATATAACACTCCTTATATGAGCATTCTTGCTTAAGTGTAATTATTTTATGAGTGTTTCATGAGTGTTTTATACTTATATTCCAGATACGTATAAAACAATTATAAATTTTTTTATTATAATGAAATTTTATATGTAATTATATAACTCTCTAATATAACAAATTATACTCGGCGATAATTTGATATTTATGTATACTTTTAAATAACAGTTTTATAACTGTTGCAAAAGAGGACATATTAAAACATTTATAAATCTCTTACAAAATTAAAACATCTTAAAAGAGGATTTGATTATTTAAGTTCACTTAGTCTAACCTAACTTTTTCATTTTAATTTCTCAAAATGTCCAGTACGTGGAAAAATAAAAAAATTAAAGCAAATTATGAGAGGATTTTGAGTAGTACAGTTACTAGGGTACAATATATCCAAAAAAGTTAATGCTGATATAATAGGACCGAGTAAGGACTGCACTGAAGAATCAGCCAATATAGGTACATTGTAGTCGTGAGTCTGATCAAGAAAACAGATGTTTAGATATTAATAATGATAGCAGTAGTAGTAGCCCAGGTTTCTGCAATGCTCTAGAATCTAGTGATGATGAGGATAATGCTATATTGACTGAAACCAGTAAAAACTGTAAAACAAATCCGAGCTTGGGCTGTTTCATTCAATATTAACCACGCCTATAAAACTATAAAAGCAATATCCACAATAAAGGGGGTTGTGCGTTTCCCGGACTAAATAACAAAACTAAGGTTATGTTTATATTTTTAAAACATCACAAACGTATTAAGTGCGTATATGACATGTACACGAGCCTTATACGATAATTTTATATTAACATGCCTTTGTATAAAATAAAAGTATTTTATTAGTGATTTATAATAATCGCATGAAGTGTAATAATGTTACTGTCACGCTCCCTTTTGCTAATATTGGCAACTAGAGAAATGTCTGTCAAAGATTACCAAATCCGGGGTTGCCGATACGAAAAACTTTACACTAATATGACTGAAAAAATTATAAAACCTATAATGTGGTATTATTTTTATGGGATACATACCCAGGTATATTTAGTAGTTTATGGGTGGCGTTGTCATTGTCATAAGAATATTTTGTCAATATACAAAAAAATTAATCATAAAAATACCAATCTGTGTTGACGTTTATATTAAACATTTGCATAAAAATCGTATTATCTAGCAAGGCCATCAGTGTCTTCAAACAAACCTGCTTGTTTTACGCATGTCAACTTTAATTTTATTATTTGACACTTAGACACTTTCAATCTATTCTAACAATACAAATGAACATGTTTTGAGATTTTTCTATCGATAGGATTAGATAAAATATTTTAATTAATACCTTTAAACCCATAAATCAATTTGGAACCAATTCATGTTGTTTTGCCAGGAAAAAATCACGACTTCGGCGCAAGAGACATATCTGTAGAGTAAATTTCTATAATAATAAAATACTAGGCATACAACATGTGTAGAAAATATGGTGAAGATTCTGTAGTTTAAGCAATTATTTTATAAATTAATACAAAAATACAATGTTTCACATATTTTTTTGTAAAATTGGACTAAAAATGGCGGTTTAGATGTACTCTAGAACCGACACAAATATTTTTGTTTAAATTTCTATTCCATTTCGATTTTTCAATTTAAAAATGTTTATGGATTATAATAAAATATAGGTATTTGAATAAAAAAGACAAACAGGATCCAGGTCTAACTATATTGGTCGGGCTAAGACAGGACACCTACTCCCAGGCGCGATCCCAATACTGCACGACGCGGAGACGATAAACTGTATACTTAAAAAAATATATTTTGATTTGTAATTAAAAAAAATTGCGATTTGGATTGATTCTTATAAACCAGGGCTTGTGAAGATCATATACGTGGCTGAGCCTATCAACATATATACCTGAAAATTCAACGTCCTAATATATCATCTTCCGGTCCGTGTAGGGCCTCAGTCTGGATAAGGTGAGAACCACCAATTTAGCGTCTCTCGAATAAACTAAAAATGGACGCCTGCCATATTTCAGAAACAGATCAGGGTATATATTCGGCGAAAAAATTTTTGCAATGAAAATGGCCATGAAAAAACACAGGAAAATGTTTTCAAGTTCTTTAAATGGCCGCTAGGGGTGCAACGAACTCTCGAAAACATAATCATGTGATTATCTCGAGAAATACAATTGAAACCTTGATGAGATTATACAAAAAATATTTAGAGACTTTTTGCCCTTACAAATAAATGTTATGTACCTTTTTTGTTTCTTAACTGATTTCAATGATTTTAACGTCATTTAAAATAGTTTTTCCTGTTTCATAAGATGCATAAAATGAATAACAATAATAAATAATTTTAACGCCTCTAGAGTGCTCTATGTCAAAAAGTTGACAATGTTCCCATTTTTCTCAACAATTTTAAATGCAATGAAGCTTTTTTTTTTAATTTAAATAAAAAGAGGATAAAAAAATCAGGAATCTAGTGAAAATCGCAACTATAAATCTTAAACATATTATGATTTAAATAATGAAGATTAAGATTTAGACCTCGATTTAGATTAATAATATTAAAATTATTTTAATTTATTAGGAGATATAAATTACGTCATTTCCAGTTATAAAACGAATGTGTCTTAAAAATATAAGCATTATATAACAATTTAGAAATATAATTGCTTTATTAGAAACAACTAAGTACAGGATAGTTTAGTTACATAATTGTTTCCGAAACAACAAAACTGATTTATTGATTGACTCTATCTTGGATACGTTTATCAAACAGTAAATATAATGTCTACCATGTTTTTATATGTAAACTGTTTCAAAATTATTAATAAATGTTTACACTAGTTTGTTCATATATCGAAAATAAGTAAATACTTTGTACAATAGACACAACATTATCAATATTTACTAATTTAGGTAAATTTTTGAAACATTAATTAAATTATTAAAGTATTTTTTTTAATAACAACTAATTAAACTCAGGACCCGTGAAAATTTTCCCATAATTAGGCATATATAATATCAGTAAAATTTGTGTGACAGAAGAAATTACTGGATAAATAGTGAAAATAATATAAATATAGTTTATTACATGAAAACTATCGCCATTATATATTTGTTTATTCTGAGCATCTTAAAAATCTGTTTTGTCTCTGTCACCACAATTTAATTTTAATTTACATAACTGTAAAACTATATTGTGTTACATAAAATCTAAATATTGCGAATAAATCAATTCTGTGTATTATAAAATAATTATAAGATTGTTAAACAACAATTTTATAATTCGGTTCTAAATATTGATCGTAAGCCATATTTATAAAACAAATATATAATATCCATAAAACTATTATATAATAGTAGTTTCATATATAATAGTAGTAGAGTAGTATAGGTATGTTGATAGTTCCAATAATATAACTTTAAAAAAATTTATATAAAAATTTTATAACATACTCCAGAATGTTTTATACTTACTTTTATACTCCATAATAAAACTGTTAAGAATCACATTTATTTTATAAACCTGCGCCTTTTCCGTGTTTATAAGTGCCATATAAGCGTCTATAAAATGCTTTTAAAATATACAATTTTTATAACAAATTGTTATATAGTTATTTATAAAACTCTTTTGGGCATTTTTTTGCTGCTTGGGTTGTTTAATACATGAAAAACTTGTATGTTTAGATTCCATAAAAATATTGATTTTTTTGATCAGCAAAGTAGGTACATTTAAAATTTTTAAGATTTTAAATATAAAAATACCAACTTGATTAAGTTACTGACCTTCTTCTTTCTCATTCTTTTATTGAGCTATGTTCTGAAGAACAATTTACCCAGACAACTCATTAGATTCCAGAAAACTATTCACAAAAGTTAATATTAGTGTTTACTGATGTAAATTAATTTTAAATATGTCTAAAAACTTAATTAACAGTTTAAAATTTGATTCTTTGGGTTATAAAGAATAATATGAACATTAAAAGGTACAGGTAAACCAGTTTTAGCCAATTCACTGTACAAATCAAATGTTGGGGTTTGATTAATCCGACACTTTAAAAAAATATGATTAAGGGGCCCAACTTAACCACATTCACCCGAATTCTAAAGAGGTGGGATGGTGTTAAGCAATGTCCAGTTCTCATTCTAATGATATTAGTTAAATGTCTTCTAGTAATAAGTCCAAACTTAACACTGACCTATTTGGGATAATGAATTTGAGACTTTATTTAGTGTTTGACAAACAATATGACAATAAAAATAAGATTTTGCTTAAGAAATAGTACTTTTTTACCTAATGTTAATAATAATAATAAAACTTTAACAGCTAATTACAAAACGTTCATTAAAATTTTAGGTACCCTACCCGAAAAACTATTGTCAATATAATCGTTTTCTAATACTTGTGCTATTCATCATCAAATATATCTAGCGACTTACTAGATCTCTTATTAACCCAAGCTTTTATCTTATAGTAAAACTTTGCTAGATATAAAATAAGTACTTACTGAATGAAAATTCTTTGGCAAATTCAAATTCCTGCTCAGTCAAATACTTCTCGCTCCCCCTTTCAACCCTTTTCTCCTCTTCCTTTAATATATGAATAACGTACGTTTCTATTTTCTCTAATCTTGTTCTCAAATAGCTAGAAACGAGAAACCTAAGTCGATCTACTTCTAATTGATAAATGCTCTTTGTAAAATCCGAGCTACTTAATTTCTTTATATTTTCTTCCATTGTCGTTATTTGGTCTAAAATAATGTCGACAATCTCTGATTTATTGGGTAGTATTTCTGGGGCGAATTTTTCGTTTGTCCAAGCTTCTTCCATCATTTCTATTACTTCTGCTGGCGTTATTTGCACATGATCGTCTGAACCAGTGGAAATGTTATCCAAGTCGTCTATAGTTAAATCTTCCATGCTTACAAAATGTAGCAAAAACTATATTATGTATTTGGAATGCCTTTCTAAATAAATAAAAAATATAAAAGTATCCACTTTTTGTGTTTATAACCAAATATGAATTTCGTGCCGCGCTGTCCTCTGTCACCTGTCACTTCTCGTCCATCTAAGATCTTCTGTAACTAGAGAAATAACTAAAAAGGGAAAGTAGTGTATTTTCTTTATTACTTGAAAATAGTAGTTCTGTAACAAGAGTGGATGTGGATAATTCGCTCGAGTTGTACAGTATATCTTTCTACGACCCACTAACGAAAATTTACAAATTAACTAGTTTTAAAATAATTTATAACTTTTAATAATTTTTAAAATAATGGGTCCTATGATTGAACGTTTATGTTATCCATAACGTACATGTTAGGTCGAATTTTAACAGTAACGAAGCAAGTTTGTACGATGGAAAACTGTTAAATTAGAACATAACAGGCGGAAAATAACATTAATGTGTTGGAAACCGTTTTTCATCATACGAACTTGCCTAATTACTGTTAAAACTGAGCCTAACATGTACGTTACGGATAACGTAAACGTTCAATCATAGGACCCAAGATAAACGAAAAAATAGATTTAATCTAAAAGTCCCCAGTAATCACATAGAACCTAATCTAGTTATTTTAGATCTTTGATAATCGTTTCTTCTTTTTATTTGTAGCTTATCACATTGCATTCATGCAGCCACTTAATTATTAGTAGGGAAAAGTATACCTAGCACTTATGCAACCAGTATCACAAAGTTGTGTATTACTAGTTGCAGTATCTGCGTTACATTTATCCATTTATTTTTCTTATTCACTTATATTTGATGCTATTATAAACGTAAATGAATATTACTACTACTTATGCAACCAGTATTAACAATACATGTATTACTGGCCATTAATTATTGAGCTGTTACTTAATTTTATTCTAAACTTATTTTTTTTGTAGACGTTATTAAAAAATCTTATTCCTTCACATAAATTAGAATATTTACTATTTTTACTTACTGTTTACGGTTGAAGAAGATTTATTATAATTATTACTCTGATTAAAAATAGATAACACCCTGACCATACTCTACTTGTGACATTATCATAAAAACGTCCTTGAATCTTGAACGATTATTCTTCAGCCATGGGCAATACACGTGTGTAACACAGCTTTCTATGCATTTTGATAAGAAAACAAATCTTTTATTCTACATTTGGCGTACTCAAAAAGTTTAGATAAGGAGATTAATCAGTCAATTATTTTTGTGTCTAGAGAAATTAATTAAACCAAGAATTAAATAATAAAATATAAAATAAGGTTTTTTTGTTATGTTTTAACAATAGGTATCGTCTTTTTATAGTTATTGCTGTATTTTTTTTAGTTAGCGTCTGAAATTAAGTGAAAATGTTAGTTGAATAGCAAATTATTCGTTGTCTACAACTTTTAAACTTTCTATTGTTCAATTAGTTTTCTTGGAGAACCGGTACAAACATTATTTGATTCTGAATTTATATTTAGACATTTGTCAAACGACTGTACATTTGAGAATTAGCTTGAAATTCGGCAACATCGGTCTGAAGCACAAACAGCCTTTGGAATTTGCCAGCATCTGTTTACGGTAATCTTTTACCTGCACCCTCGATAATTTCAAACGGCACGCCTATTTATACATTTTTTCGACTCCTTATCAATCAACATATGAATACATTGATAGACTTAATTCCCATTTGTCAATAATCTTAATAATTTTACTATCTATGACCGATTTAATTCACACAATTACATATTCTAGGTAGGTATATCAGTTAATTTAAGAAACTGGTTTATATTATTTTTTTAATACCTAAGTAGGTAATTGTCAATCATATTTTATTTATATTATACAAAAGTATTTTTAAAAATGTTTACGCGTCCCGTGCAGCATTTTTGCCGGAAAAAATCGAACGTCGCGAAAATTGTCAAAAGACAATTATCGATATCGGGAAATAATTTCGAGATAAGTGAAGAAGTGCGCATAGCCCTGGACAACAATTCAGCTGTTGTGGCTTTGGAATCTACAATTATTACACACGGAATGCCGTATCCGCAAAATGTCAAATGCGCTTTGGACGTGGAACAGGTTGTGAGGAAGCAGGTAAGTGAACGAATGTGAATACGAGGTGTGTTACATAAATTTCGACTCGCTTAAGGCGGAAGTACTTGTTCTTTCAGTATGTGCGCTTTTGCGACCCTGATCTTTTTTCCATAAATAATATTACATAGGTTATGCATTTTCTATATGTACCATATTAGGCGTAAAGGTATAACAATTATTTAATTTATATACTTGCTAGAGAACTAATTTATTTAGTACACGGGTCAATAGTAAAGTGCCCATTGGTAACCCACATAGCACACGGACGTCTTATGAACGTCTATAAGACGTCCTTCAGGGACATAAAGGACGTCCGAGGGACGTCCTCTTTTAGTACCAGGACGTCAATCGGACGTCCAATGGACGTCCTAATATCCTGCTTCCGTCCATCCTATAGACTTCCCATAGGGACGTCCATGGGACATCCGAAAAGATCATCATAGGGACCTTTACGGGACGTCCTAGGGACGTAACTCAGACGCCCGAGAGACGTTATTTGACCATAATCCATAAATGGTAATAATAACAAAAATGTTAACAATAAAAGGGCTTTATTTAACAACTTTTATCCTGAAAAAACTAGCTAGAGTTAAACGTCTTCAGTTTACAAAAAAAAAAAACACGAATTATATAAATTTAACACACAGAGCTGGTAAGATGAAACCTTGGGTCCTACTTATAGCTTATGTCGACATAACTGAGTTTGATCATTTTGTCAAAATTAGTTTTGTTCCAACTTTCCGCCATTAAGGTATTTTCTTTCCGCCAGCGGCTACCGCCAATACACATCACTTATTCTCACCTCAACACAAAATACTCATTTTACTTTATAACCACTTTACCACCAACATCAAAAAAATAACAAATAACACTATATAACCTTCTGTTTTCTTCGTTAATCTAACTCACTTATATAAGTTAATTATTGAATGCCGAAAATGGTTGTTGTTCATATGAAAATAAATGATAGGTTAGGTTTTCTGTCCTCATACTCTTGCAAAAACAAAAGGTAGAAAGTCCCATGGACGTCCCATTAACGTCCTGGACTCGGACAGAAAATTAAACGCTTTGTCGAAACGGGACCAAAATAGGACGTCCTTCGAAGGACGTCCTAGTGTTCCCGGTAATCGGAAGTCCACTGAATGTCGTATTTAGGTCCGGGACCAACCGGACCAACAAGGGACCAAATCAGGACGTCCATGGGACGTCCTGTACTATCTGGGGGAGCATTTCGCTGTATTTTACCGTTTTTCCAAAGTCTGTTTAGTATTTATATAGGTTAAGAGTTAGAGTAGCTTGAAGCTAATCTTCGCCTATCTGGTGCAAATGTTGTACATTTGTTCAATAAAGACATTTTTATTTATTTATTTTATTTGATCTAGTACAGCAAACGTACATCAACATGTCGTTTAAGTCCAGCAGAACGCTGTATTTGTCGAGCAAACCGTCGTTATTGTCCAGCAATGTCATACATAATGGAGAAGGTTGTTGATAATTATATCAGAACGGAAGTCCTGGAGAGGGTGCCACTCCACCACAGCCAACACGCGTACTGAGCAGGAAGGTCTACAGAAACTGCCCTGGTACAGTTGACTGACGTAATCCAGGATGCACTAACAAACAAAGAAACGGTCGTGTGTGCTTCCAAGATATAGAAGGAGCTTTTGACAACACGCCACACGAATCTGTAGAAAGAGCACTTGTATACAGAGGAGTAGATAACATCACATCCAGATGAATGGCTCAGCTGTTATCTACGAGAACTGCAGAGACACAGATAGGGCGGGACACCATCTCCATCTGCACAACCAGAGGATGTCGACAAGGCATACCCTGTCAAGGTTATGCCGACGACATAGTCATATTTGCTAGAGGCAAATTTTGTAATATCCTGTGTGATATAGTCCAACGAGGACTAGAACATACCAAAAGATGGTGCCGTGAAGTGGGACTTAGTATAAACCCTACAAAAACAACACTAGAATCCTTTAGCCTTTAGATATGGAATGGAAAAATGAAGTCAAATAACTAGGCCTAACCCTGGGCAACAAACTTCTCTGGAACACACATGAAAAGGAAGTAGTAAATAAGGCCACAAAAGTCCTAATGGTATGCAGAAACATTGCAGGCAGACGATGGGGATGTAACCCAAACATACTGCGATGGATATATACTGCAATAGTGAGACCATCACTTACGGGGCTATAGCCTGTAGTAACAGAACTAGTTTAACTACTACGAGAGCTAATATCTCAAAAGTACAAAGACTAGCCTGTGTTTGCATTACTAGTGCAATGAGAACCTGTCCTACGGCCGCAATGGAGGTGATCTTAAACCTCATGTGACAAAAAGGACACGATATAGAATGATCAGGAACGGAGTAATCAGACGACAGTCTACTTGCTCTAGGACTAAAGATAACTAGGACATGTCCCAGGATGAAATGCTAAAGAAGTACAGTTTTGTGAAAAACTTCAAAATCACAGAGCTGGGCTGCAAGAAAGAATGGAGCCCAGAATCCATCGCGCTTGCAACCGAAAGACGTGCTATTCAGTGGTATACGGACGGTTCCAAAACCATAGAAGGAACTGGAATAGGAGTGTATGGGCCAAGAACCAAACACTCCGAAAGCTTGGGAAAATACCCAAGCATCTTCCAGGCGGAAATTCACGCCATCAAGAAGTGTATCCAGTTACTATCATAGACAAGAGATCATCATCATGTCCGATAGTCAAGCAGCCATCAAAGCGCGGAGCTCTTACGTAATCAGCTCAAAAATGGTCTGGAGATGCTTAGAACAATTGAATGAGCTAGGCGAGAAAAATAGAGTTACTCTCATTTGGGTCCCGGGACATAACGGGGTACAGGGTAACGAAATTGCAGATAGTCTTGCAAGGAAAGGGGCTCAAACACCCTTTGTAGGACCTGACCCGTTCTGCGGTATCAGCAGTAACATAATATTAGGAGAGATTAAAAGAAAATTGGGCAGTAGAAGAACCGATAATTTGAACAATCTCTTGGGGCTGAGACAGGCTAAGATACTTCTTGATGAATATAACCAGAAAAGATCGGAAGCCTTCATTTGTCTGAGCAAGAACAGGCTACGTATTGTAACAAGGGATCCTTACCGGGCATTGCCGACTAAAGGACATCTAATTAAACTAAGAGTAGTAGAGGATAGTGAGTGCAGATTCTGTGAGGAGGAGGAGGAGGACGACGAAACCTCCATTCACATCCTAACTGAATGTGTAGCACTCCAGAATCCAATGGCACTATATCTAGGAGAATATCAAATAGAAGAGGGAGATTTACCTAACTTGAAGCCACTTCAAATTCTACACTTCCTTGAGAAAATAGGATTCTAAGGGTCGTTATAGGCATTGAGACATTTCCTTGGTGCATTGGCTACAGAAGGGGACACAATAGATCTTTTAGGTCGCAGTGTATTAACACCCCATTCCCAACATAACATAGGGGTACTTTGCAAAATACATTTCTATATTATTATTGTCACGGCATATAAAATAAAAAGATTAAATTTTGGATGAAAAAAATAAAAATAAACCTTATATTTTAGACAAAATTGTTTCACTTAAACATTGAACGAATTCATTTTGATTAATTAATTTTTTAATCTCTTAGCATTAAAAGTACCTGAAATCAAATATTAAAAAAATAAAAAGTTCAAGAATTATCTTTATAAGGGCCACTTTCATAATCAAATTAAAGGAAGCTTAAATATAAATGTTATATCGATTTCAAAATACAAATTTATTGAAAAAGTAAACTTAAAAGCTTTAAGTAAATACCCGTTTCTGCTCTTTTAGAAGCTTTAAAACGTGCTTTTTCCGATGACGTTTGACAGTTTGTCGTTTTGATTGAGTTTTGATGACATCACGCCAATTTGATGTAAATAAACAATCAAATAATATAATTGATTTATAACATTGAGTCTTATACTTAGTGAATTCACAACTCTTTTCTGAAATATGTTTCTATATTTTTTAATTCATGATGAAAATGTTATTCTACCTATATCAACCTTTTCAACATTGTTTATTTTTACAATAATAACTCATATTTTCATTTTAACTACAAATAAGCATTGAAGGATGAGGTATAAATAAAATATCTGCTTCTTGAACTTGTACTACGTTTTGCAAATTAAATTACTGCACTTTTTCTTCTCTAGACTATATATGTTAGGTCAAAAATAAGATTGAGAAAATATAGATCCACATATTATTGAATTCTTAAGATACACATATTTTAACACATTTGACTCTTCTAAAAAACATGTTTAAGCAAATATTCTTTAAAAAAAAAAAAAAAAGAAAGTGTATAGGTATATGAATAAGTACATATTTAGATAAATAACTTGGTATACCCTAAAGACTATTATTTTAAATGAATGAAAAACAGCAATTGAAGAAATGTTCGTTTAAATTTCATCATTATTATAAACGATTAATTATTTTTCATGAATGTTTTAAAAAACGCATTAATTAAGAATGTATGTTAAAATAAAATACTTAATTATACTCGTAGCATGCATAGAAGTTTTTCCAAACTCAATAAACCCTGAATTAACCAGATAAATAAAAGTAAAATAAATATTTTGAAATTCTTGGTCGATGATGTGGAAAGACATAAACAACTTTATCTATCATCACTCACATGCATTTCAATTGCTACTAATTTAATGAAATACAAACAGTTAGATGTCTACTTGGGTTCTTAAAGTCTAAAGTGTTTTTAAATCATATTATTATTTATTATAATTTTGTTTTGAATTTTTTTTGTATATATTATAAAACCTTAACTCTTGCTGTAACTTAGGTTTATAAGCAATAAACGTATTATTATTATTATTAAATCATATTAACAATGTCAGAAATCTATAGGTAAATGGACAAAAAAGTTACCAACCTAAATTGGATTAAATCTAAGAGCCTTTTTGAGTTCGTAATTTTCTGTATTACAAGTAAACTTGCAGCAGTAGATAAATTACTGTCTCTGTATTAAACTTCTCAATTAAGTGGGTCCAGTGGATTTACTTGAAAATTGACGCGAACGCAATGCATTTAAAAACATCGATCCTGTCCATTCCACACTAAACAAAAACATTTTTTTTTTGAAGGGTGCAGTACCTGCAACAATAGCAATCAAAAATGGAAAAGTAAAAGTAGGACTAACAGAATCAGAAATAAATGAACTTGGTGACACAAATTCAAGTAAACCTTTGAAAACATCAAGACGTGACTTCGCTTACGTTGTCAGTAATAAGAAAAATGGAGGAACGACGGTGTCTGGAACTTTAATCGTAGCTAATCTAGCAAACATTCCAATTTTTGCCACCGGAGGTAAGAATAATTATGATGATAATATAGAAAATTATGATACTTAGGTTGGTATCCACCATTGTTTAGTCTGGTACTTCTAACAGCCTAATAGTATTATGTTCAATGTATTCATTTCAGTTCATTCAGAGTATTCAGTCTCATATTGAATATTCACTAAGAATTTGGTTGTCATTTGTATCTAATTTCACTTTTATTTAATTCTAAATAACTTAAATCTCTTAAATGGAAAAAAGAGCTGCAAATTACAAACTTTTACTTTTGCTACTAAAAAATATTATAACGATTTAAAGGTGATTAATTTGGGTATCTGGTTAATATATTTTATTTTAGTACTTGTCTCTCCTTTATTATCATAGCAGATCATAATAATTAATAATATAATTATGAAAATGAAAAATTGAAAATATCCTTTATCCTGTATAGAAATTAAAAATTTTCCCATAAAATTGCTAATTGATACTGGAAGTTCAAAATCCACAATGAAACCATCTATTGTAGGAAAATATTTTTCAGTCACAATTTATTTTGCAAATATAACCTTAAAGACTTCGCTGGGAAATATCAGGCAGATAGTATAAAGCGTTCCCAGAAGTTTATTATAAGAACGTTCCTAATTTCATTGTACATGATTTTCACGACTTTTTTAACAGTGTTATTCTTACTGACTTAGTTAAAATAAATTTAAATATAGACTTATTAAAAAAAAATAATAGGTCCGTATATTGAAATATAGACAACCAAATTCTGATAATTTTAGAGAATCTCTTTTAAATAAATATATGAAGATTTAATTATTGAAGAAACAAGAAACAAATTTACAAATGTCACTTTATAAAAAGTTAATTGATCACTATCACTTGCCTAGTCTGTAGGGCTTTAAATTGTTTATTACAATGTTTCCATTGCACTGGTGTAGCTCTTTGACAACCTTGGTTTGTCCTTCTTTCTTCTCTATCTTCTTTAGTGGTTTTTGGAATGCTAAATATTAAGACATTATGTGATCTAGCTTGTCTTACCTGCATTTCTGTTAAAGTGGGTTTAAAGACCATATTCTGGTTTAATTGTTGATTTGGTTCTCGGGAACTTTCGTGAATCAGCTAGAACTTTAAATGTATCCTTAAACACCACTTCTGAATCTGTCACATCTGTCACTGTAATATTTTTCTCTAATTTTTTTATGTTTTCTTTAAAAGAGTTTTATTCTGTGGAGATCTGGTGGAAGCTGTTGACTTTCTGCTCCACTGTCTTCAGATTTTTCTTTAATTCTCCTACTTTTTTTCTCCACTCTTTTCATCATTGGCAAGCACCTAATTTCAGAAGCTGAAATTCCTTACATCATATTTTTTTGCAAACATCATATGGATATGGATATGGATACCCAAACATTTATTTCTTTAAACACACAATTCTATTTTCATTTACAGCATACCTGCATGGTTGTAGGTTATGTTTCTGATTACTGCGATATCATAGTTTACGAATATTTTGTAGGTTAGGTTAGGTTAGGTCTTTATATATTTAATTTTTAATACTTTTTTGTAACATTTTCATTTTGTAGGTATTGGTGGTGTTCATAGGGAAGCTGAAAAAACCTTTGACGTATCAGCTGACCTAATAGAATTAGGAAAATCAAATGTAGCTGTAGTATCTAGTGGAGTTAAGTCTATATTAGACATTCCTAAAACTTTAGAATACTTGGAAACGCAAGGAGTTTTTGTGGCAACTTTCGGTTCTACTAAAGATTTTCCTGCGTTTTACTCCACAAAGAGTGGAGTTATGGTGCCCCATAATGTCAAAAGTGCTATTGAAGCTGCTCAAATTATAAAAACTAGTAGGGAGCTACATCTTCAGTCAGGTAAGGTATTAAAAATAAGATAACGTTTCTAAATATTTCTTGATTTGTTGCTATAAATATTTGGGAATGAGTGGACTGTATAATTTTTGATTATAAATGATGATACACATCAAAGTAGTTTCTGTGGTTCTGGTAAGAAAGTTTTTTTTAAAAAATTGTTAAATCTAAATAGGTTGTGACTTGTCGATTTGAGATTTGAAAATGTTAAAGTAAAATTCTAAAATAGTGTTAAACGAAAAGCCAGAATGCTTTTACTGTTGGTCCAAATTTTGTCGAATGATGTAAGCACATTTCGTTGTTACGTTATCAACTTTTAAATAATTTTTGTTATTTCTCTTTTTGACTTTAAACAATCTTATAAGCAGAGCGAAATAGCGGTTAGTTTTAAAATAACCGAATTTTATAATGAGATAAAACTGACGTTAGAAAATAATGGAATAGCAAAACCAAAGGAGTGATTACCAGCTTCAAACTAATTTATACTCTTTCTCCCTTTGACTTTGGACAATCTTATATGGCGGTTAGCTTTAAAATTATTGAATGTTAGAGACTGATAGAATAATAATACCAATGTAGCGTGATCTTTCTAATGAACACTTGTGTTGGAAGTGTTATGCTTTTTCTATACGTTAAATAATTGTTGTATCGTGGTTGTACTATGCAAAAAGTTAATTTTGTGTGTGTACAATGTAGGAAATTCGACTTGTACAGGGTTTAATACAAGAAATATATTTTAAATGATCAATTAAAAATTGGTACTGATTCTATCGTAATCTTTTAGGAATTCTACTAGGTGTGCCCATACCTGATGAATTTGCTCTAGATCCTGTAATTATTGATAGAGTTATAGAAAAGGCACTTAAAGAGGCAAGGGAAAACAATATCAAAGGAAAGGATATTACGCCATTTTTATTAGCCAAAATAGCTGCAATTACCGAAGGAAAATCTTTGAAGAGCAGTATCCTTTTAATAAGAAACGTATAATGTGATATGTTTCCGTTATTTTCAAGTATATTCCTTTAATAAGTTCATCTAGATATTGCATTGATAAAAAACAATGCGAAAGTTGCTGCTGATATAGCTGTAGCTTTATCACGTTTAGAAAAATCTGGTAACTCTACTGAAGATGGGAACCAGGAAAACATGGAAAGAAGACCTGTTAGTACTTAATTAATTTACTATTCAAATCATTAAAAAACAAATCACAATTTGTATTTACATTTAAGGTTAAAATGCATGTAATAATTTAGTTTTGTATCATTTTCAGTATACCTAGGTATCCATTAGATCAAAATTTGAAAATAAAAACATTATTGGTTCAATTTTTTTCTAGATCATCATCGGTGGATCCAACATGGATTGCAGTGCTCTGCTAGATACAGATGAAATAAAGGTAAGTTCAACGATCTACTTCTTGAACGCCTATTGAAAATTATCATAATAATCAATAATTATTTACCCTATGTAGAAATTAAAAATTTGCAAATAAAATTTCTAATTGATACTGGAAGTTCAAAATCCACAATAAAATCATCTATTGCAGGAAAATATTTTTCAATCACAATTTATTTTTCAAATTTAACCTTAAAAACTTCGCTAGGAAGTAAACAGATCAAATTTCAGGCAGATATTATCCAGCGTTCAATTTAATTGTAAGAACGTGATTAATGGCTTGCTGACTACTATCTCTAAATATATGAAGTTCTAGATTAAAAGTATTAAAATTTCTATAATTGTAGCATCGTGGAATCTCTATATTACCTTTTTTCCTCAGGTCTTCTATAATCCATTTTTTCCACCTCTTAAAATGGCAATATTCAATTTCTTTGTCCCAAGGGATTCCTGCCTTCCAGATATCCTGCAGTGAAATCTTCCCTTTTATAGTAAAATTTCATAAAAGTCCTATAGGGTCAAAAAGAGACATAACTACCTTTAAAACTTCTCTTTTTGTAGTTGTTTTTTCTCCAAGTATTATACTCTTTGATTTTATTTAAAAATATTTTTTATTGGACACCATTTTAATCCTAAAACTCTATGGGACATGTTAGGATCATCCAGCATTTTATCTTGGATGCACAATTCGGTGGCAATGCTGTCCATAACATCCTGTGAATTACTTATCCAACCTCACATTTCGAATCCTCCTTTTCCGTAGATCATGATGATATTATTTATGATTTTTACTGCTTCTTCTATAGTATTTACTCTAACCAGATAGTCGCCCATGTAGTGCTTTGATAAAATTCTTTTATAAAGTCTACAGCGTTTGTTTTTGACGTATTGAGCACAATACGGAGAAGAAACATTCCCAAAAATTATGACTTGCATCTGGTACATACAAATTTTCTCATCTGGACTCTCCCTGAAGAGAAATCTTTGAGCAGGTTAATCCTCGGTTCTTATGTTCACTGTTTTTGTTTTTCCCTAAATTTCCAGATTATCCCAATCAAAGAGTTGTACAAATCTGGATCCCTGTATAAGAAATCGTTAAGGCTCCTTCCTTGTACTTCTGCAGCCGAGTCAAAAATCAATCTAAGGGGCTTTTTCTTATTCATATTGATTACTCCGAAGTGTGGTAAGTACCATATTCTATTTCCTATATTATTTTTCTGTTCATCTAGTTTCATGGCGTACCCCCTTCTTGAAATATTCTTCTATTTTATTACTGTAAGCTTCTTTAAATTGTGTATCTTGACGCATCTTCTTTTCTATATACTTAAATCGTTGGATGGCTAGTGGTTTATTGTCTTTCCATAGCAATCCTGTTTCCCACTTCTCTCCTACTTTTCCTGTTACTCTTTCCATAATTTCTTTAGCCTTTTCATCGTCTTTGCTGAATAATTTCCTGTCTAAAAATTTTACCCCAAATGATTCTATAGAAAAATATTTGCTTACCATATCATGGAGTTCTTTATCTGATGAATCTGCCTGTGTAATGTGTAGTACAATTTTATCATCTACTCTTCCTCTGCAGTACTGAAAGTTTCCATGCACTACCCACCCTAATCTTGTTAATGAGAGTGCTGGGGAATTCTTCGGACCTTCAATTAGTTCTCTGGTGGCGATGAGATCCCAGTGATTCTGACCTAAAAGTAGCTTTGGCTGAGCATTTTCTAAATTAATAAGTGTACCCATTTAGATTTTAGCTTACTTGAATTTAATGACTGTTGAGGTAGTTCTACATCCTTCATGGTGTACACTGAACTTAATTTATAAAAACTATTCATTCCTTTCCCGGAAATGTCAAAGGTTACTCTTCGAGCCGTTATGTTTCTACAAGAATTTTTACTAGTCCACTTAAGCCCTAAGTCTACTGTGTTTCCCTTCAAATATTGTTAATCAGCTAGTTGTTCATCAATTAAAGAAACTGCTGATCTTTCATCGAAAACGGAATAAACTCAAATCTAACACCTAGTATATTCCCTAATCTGTAAACACCTAATCTTGCCTCTCCTTGTATCACATATTGAAGAGGTGGGTGTCCTATTAGTGCTACCATTGCAGCTGTGGAGGTTGTTTTTATTGCCCTCGTTATTCCGAGGCAAGCAAGTCTTTGTACCTTGCTTAGCCTCGTTATTGCTTTCCTTTGCTGTGTCTTTGGCCACCACAAAAAAAAAAACTTTATCCATATCCAATTCTGGATTCAATTCACTTTCAGTACAACAATTTTAAGGTTGCTGAAGTGGTATTTTGTAGTAAATTGGTAAATATATACAAAATTAAAAAATAGCATTAGTCATACTTGAAAACATGTGTGGCTGAATAACTCCACGTGCATCACAAGTAGGTAGGTGTCAATTAATTAAAAAAGAAATTACGTAGGTTGATACAAGTCCATTATAACTTGAAAAACTATTAAATATAAATGGATGTGTTTCCTACAAATTCCATTTAAAACTTTTAATTTGCTCTTTAAAACTTTTGCAAATAGCTTCAACTGGACATTGGACCTTACACACTCGATTCGATCAGTGGCGGCTCCTGGATAAATTTATGGAAATAAGAAACAACAAATCTTACTAACAGTACACTTTATTAAATATTTAGGTATATATACAATCTTGTACACGTTTTGTTAACATGGAATATTTAGCTTCTGTAATTATAACAATTATACAATAATTTGAGAATTATCGTGTCGAAATCGCTGAAAAAAATCGGGAAGCTTACGAAAATTCGACATATTTTGGTCAGTTACAGGTTACTGTCATAAATGTTAGTTTTAATTTAGCAGCGATATTTAAAATTTACTACCCGATATGTTCATTGTAAAATAATTCTTTCAATTTGCAGACCAAAGTTGTTTAGACTTAAAAACATTTTTTGGAATCACAGGATGTTACACTTTTACATGGCAAATGAAAATACATATTGAAACATTGATCGCCATGTCACCTAAATATGACTTGTCCGGAAGAACAATGACACAAGTACAAATTTTTACTTTTTGAGTTGATTAAGGTCTAATTCCAAAGAAAGTTATATTTCTCTTGTGGAAAAATGAAAACTAGAATTAATTTGTTTCCTAGAAGTCCCTTTGATTATTTCCGAAACTGTTACTGAGTGTCTCAGTTGTATGTTTCATATTATATTTTTTTTATTTGCGATTTTTGCGGAATTATTAATTTTTACTTGCGTCACTATTCTTCCGGAGAAGCGATATACAGGGTGTCCCAAAATTAGACGATCATATTTTAACAGCGTAATCTACATCCTAAAATAGGAATAAAAGTTCATATAAACATAGGTCCGAAAGTTTCTTTTCCGAGATACAGGGTGTTAAAAGTGAAGTCCTGATGACACACTTTTGTAAATATTTTTTAAACGTTTAAAGATAACTAAGAGAAATTAGGTACAAATGCTAACCTTTTTACGATCTATTTAATGGACTAAACTAAATTGATCATCTTCATAGGGGGGGCTTAAGGTAAAATTGCCCCAAGTTATTTTTGTTGACAGTTTTTAACATTTTTGACTATAAATTTTGGAAAATCAATATTTTCTTTATAATAAAGCTACATTTGTTGCATCTCGCTAGGAAGCACCATTTTCAAGAGAAAAGCATTTGAAAATTTCATGATAAGTTATTCAAAAGTGCAAACAATAATTAGTAGGTCTGTGGAATCAAAAATTTATTGTGGTATTTTCCAAGGAGACGCACTCAGTGCGCTCTGGTTCTGTATTGCATTAAACCCACTTTCCACTGCTCTTAACAACCTGGAAAATGGATATATACTTGATGCACAAACCATTCTATCACATCTTATGTATATGGATGATATTAAACTCTTCTCAACCTCTGAAAATGGTCTTAAACGACTACTAAGATGTGTAGAGAGAGAAGCATGGCCGCTGAGAGCCAGGCCGGGCCCCAGGACAATTCTCTAGATCGGGCCCCGTGAAACAAAAAACTATTCTCCCTACTTCAATTATTTCTAAAAAAAAGGCTCACATCAAAAAACTATTCTCCCTACCTCAATTGGTTCTTCTTCTAAAAAAAACAGCCGAAACTTAACTTCCCACTCTCATCTTGTGTCGAATTTCTCATGCAGAACAGAAAATGCTGTTGTCTATCCCTCCTTACAGCGCTACCGGACCCCCATTTAAGCCCGGGCCCCGGGAATTTGTCCCGGCTACCCCCCCCCCCCTTTAGTCGGCCCTGTAGAGAAGTTCTCTAATGATATACGCATGAAATTCGGCCTTAACAAATGCAAGACGTATAGCATAAGAGCAGGAAAATGGCATGGAACACAAGGACACCAACTTCTGCAAACTTCTGGTGGTGGAATTATTCAAAGCATGGAAAAGGATGAAAGATATAAATACCTTGGGTTAATCCAATCGGGAGGCATACAAGAAGCAGAGATAAAAACGCAACTTAAAGCAAAATTAAAGAGCAGAATAAACTCTATTCTAAAAACAAAACTCTGCACAAAACACCATTGCTGCAATCAACTCCTATGCTGTCCCTGTTGTTGCATACAGTGTCGGAGTCGTCAATTGGACAATCACGGACCTTGACGAGATAAATAGAATCATTCGAGTATGTTTTACTAAACACCGTAAACATCATCCAAGGTCATGCAAAGAAAGATTTCACCTACCACGAAACCAAGGCGGCAGAGGCATCACAGATATGAGGTTACGATACAAGTCCCAGGTACAACTCCTTAGAAGGTATTTTCACAAAAGAGAACAAGAGTCACAAATCCACAGAGCAGTGGTTGGTCTAGACGAAAATCTCACACCTTTAAAACTGAACAACAAGAATTATGATTACGACAACGACTACACGAAGAAATCGCTTTAACAAAAGTGGAAAGAAAAGGAACTACATGGAAGACATCTACATGTTCTCCATAATGCACACATAGACCACGATGCAAGTGTAACATGGCTTACACATGGGGACATCTTTTCTGAAACGGAAGGATTTCTATGTACAATCCAAGATCAACTCATACCCACCAAGTCGCACCTAAAATACATACTCAAGGGTTTGCTGTTTTCCAGAGGAAAACGGTTTCTCTTTGATATTTATTTATTATACCTTATATTGCTATACGTCTCAATAAATTAATTTCTTTACGTTCATGCAAAAAACAAAACTTTATTAAACTATATTTAGTGAAAAAACTGGTTCTTTATTGCACTAGTGCAATAAAAATTTTATTGCACTCATCTGTCATTTTACTACAGTGTTTTATGGTCATGACAAACATAAATATTCAAATCGACGCCAAATATTTAGTCCATTTTCATTTTCTGTGAGATTATATTACGTTTTAAAAACAATTGCATATTTTATATTATTTTTAATCATTTAATAAATAAATTAATAATATAGTACTTTTTCAATGTTAATCGATGCTAATTATTAGTTATTACTGCACTTAGTGTCACATAAATAAAACATGTTTTGGTTTTTGCATGAACGTAGAAAAAATATAGTATGTAACTCGTGCAAAAAGTGTTTATTGCAATTTCACGTCGCGTGCAATAAACATTTACTTTTTGTACTTGTTGCATAAATAACTATTTTAGTTATAAAGCAATGCAATTTAAAATTTTTATTGTAAAATAACTATATTAAATAAGTTTTTTAAATTAATTCAAATCCCACTCCCAACTAATTTTTATAACAAATACACATCCCTAAATGTGATAACTTTTTTACAAAGAAACACCGTGTATAATATTTCAGGACTAAATTTGTTATGGAATTATCTATTTTATAATACTTAATTGTTCCGTAAATCTACCTGTTTTAAAACTGAAATATAATATATGAAAATAATTTTCAGGCAAAAGCGCAACACCCTGTATATATAAAAATGTTTTTAAGTACGTCTTCATATTTTTTTGTAACCTTGTTTGCGTGTCTAAACAGATTTTAGATACAGTTCCAAAAATAACAGTTACTAGATCGATCATCCCAGCTCTACAGTTTACTTAAATAATGGGAATTTTTTTTTGGGACGTTGGTATTACTGTCACTGAAAATTTAAAGATGAAAATCGAGTCGGCCGGTTTTTTCGATGCTTCCATTTATCGCGTTCGGTAAAGTATTAAAATTATGAAATAAACATTCATTTTAATAAAAAAAAGTGTCTAGTGTTTATTATAGTGCCCTTTAAAATGATAGACTCGAGTTTTGACATAAAAATTAAGTGAAATTCTACCGGCTTTGGGCATCTGCAGAAGTAAAACTTTGAGGTATGTGTTGGATGTTTAACATGAAATAAAAACGTGACACAAGTCCATTATAACTTGAGAAACTAATAAATATTAATGCATATTCGGTTTTGCTTCTATTTAGATAAAAACTTTTAAACTTTTTCAAATATCTTCGGCCAACTATGACATGTCATGTTGTACTTGTAGTAGGTCAAGGATTAGATACTATTTAACAGGGTAGCCGAGATTTTCAAATCTATTTGCGAAGTGTTGAAATGTTGATATGTTGATTTGTGACGTCATCGCGGAACCTGACTATCATTATTTTTAATGCATTGCTACAGCATTGCTATATACGTACTGGAAGTATTTTAAAAATTATGTTTGGTATAATAGAGCACGATAATATACAGTGTGATCCAAATTGGGCCTACATGTATGGGTATCTTGAAAACTATAAAATATAGAAAAACGGTTACATGGAATTTTTTTTTTTATTTATGGCCTAATATGCCAGTCTCAATTTTGTGTTTGAATTTTTAATCATGTGTGTTCTGTAGGCTTTGTTACTGTTTCCCAGCGCCACTAGTAGTTTGTGCAACAAGGGTGGATATGACGGCCATATCGCACGAAGACGAAATTTGAGCACGACGCCGTAGACGGAGTGCTCAATCGTCTGAGTGCGATGTGAACAATCCACTCGGGTTGTACAGTATATTTTTTCTACGACCCAGTAACGAAAATTTACAATTAAAAAAATATTTTAGGTTATTAAAACAAAATAAGTGTCCGTCGAGGAATCCTGAAGTGCGAATTTTGTAAAAAAAATTAAACACAGTAACTAGTTTTTATAGTAAAATTTCGTAAAAAAAATTACTGTAAAAACCAGTATTTTTCGAGAAAAATCTAATTAAAAACCTCAATTTTACAGGTTATATTCACAAAACATTTACTCTAGATGACAGATTCGTTCTTGAAAATTACAATGTTGCCAAGTTGTTAACGAAATTGTCATTTTCAGGATTATTTAAAATGTATAAATTATGAGATTATAAAAACAGGAAGACGAAGCATCGACTTCTCGTGCGACAATGTTGCCATATCAATGGTCATTTTTAACCTATGCTCTGTGTTGTACCAGGCCAACCAATTGACTTCAGTATCAGAAAAATTATATAAAACTAAGGATTTCCAAAAATACCCACAGCAACGACTTTTTGTAGGGTGGCGGCTTCGCCGCCACCAGAAAATTTTAACCCATACCTGGCTACGCCGACCGGCTTGGACTCATCCAAAGATCAGTTTCGGCTCAGTTCGGGATCAGTTCCGGATGAGTTCGAGATCAGTTCCAGATCTGTTCTGGTTAGGTTTGGATCTAAAACTCGTTCCCTAGCTTGATTTTCAAGAATCTTATCATTTACCAAATACCTGACGTTTTCTAAATTATCATTGTACTTTTCTGATGAATTAATTTACGAACATATCGGTTAGTTAACAGTTTTATTTGAGTGTACGTGTTTTATTTAAGTAAATAATTCCCAACATCAGGAATTCTAGGCACGAAAAGCGTACTGAAATAAGTTATCAATTCATTTACATTTCGTCAGTTATCATTTTGGATCAATTTTATAAATTTTAGCACTACCTAAGGGTATAACGTCAAAAACTGAAACATAGAAAACATTTATTGGTGTTTGATAGTTAAATTTGTTTAGTAACATCATTATTATGATATGAGATGTTTCGTTTGATGCTCCTGTTCAAAATTATCATTTTACCTATCTGTAAATTGGAACATATAAGATAGTAATTTCTGGATATCATATCCTAAAAACCGATGAAATCATAAATATGAATAATACGGTAAAAAACGCGCAATCTAAAATGAAATTCCATTTACCCGAAAATTTTCTAAATCAACATAATATTATTAAAGAATTTTTGATTGTTCCATACTTCATCTACTAGTTGTCAATTTAAAAACTTTCTAAACTAATAAAAAAGAGTACCTATCAAAAATTGCTTTAAGCAGGTAATTTTATTCCATGGAGGGCACGGGTCTATCATATATCAAAAATGTTATACGTCATTCCCCTCTCCTTCGTCACACTAACGATTACAATTTAAATCGGGAAAGTATTAGTACAAAGTATAACACATCATTAAAAAGGTAATTTTGATTTTAGCGCCCTCTATCGGGATAAAAAACTGTTACGTATTGTAAAATGTAACACTTCATTTGAAAGCTAATTCCATTAGTGATTTAATGCGTAGCATAAATTTGCTATGTTGGTTGATTTCGGTTAGAGATAAATTGATTTAATCCTAACCTTAATAGCAACATTCTTAGTCTTATTTAAGTTATGTTTCATTAAATAATGGGTTGTTATGTTGTGGATTAAATTACCAATAAGATAAGCTTTCAAAAGAAGTGTTACACTTTACAATATGTAATAGTTTTTATACCGCTAGAGGGCGCTTAATTTAAAAGTACTTTTCCCTATTTAAATAATTGTATAGGATGAAACAAGAAACTGCAGAATTGCCAGGGAGCTCTTAAGTTATTCTGACAACACTGCAGCAAACAAATACTTGACTATGACTAGAATCTGCGTCTAGTCGTATGACGTATGATACGTAGGAAAATGATTGAAAGGTGTCCACTTGGAATAAAAAATCTACCTGATTTAAACAATTTTTGTAATTCCCTCTTTATTAGGGAGTATTACTATTGGGAAGTTTCTAAATTCTCACCCTGTATTCTATATAGTATAACAGTAACTGAACAGGAGTTTCTATTTTGCATTTCAAAAAGGTAAAAATGTTTAATTTACACTTCTCAAAACATGATGAATTCTGGTTAGTTAAATTATCTATGTTGTCCAGTTTTTGACTACACCAATCACATTTTTTAACTAAACGCTATACAAGGGGTAAAAAAGGCCATGCGAGTATTTAAAAATAACGATGGATAAAAAACTATTAGCGTTAAATTAAAAAAAAAAACAAAATCTATTATTTTTTTAAAGTCTCTCTTTACCAAATGCACTTTATACTCTTTAAGGCGAGGCACTATGTAATTCTGATAAAGTTAAGCTCATACCGACACACTTATGATTTAAAGCGTCTCTTTTGGATTAGGTTTTTTGTTGATAATTTGATATTTCTTCACTGACAGTCTTAGGAAGTTTCTAGGAAGAGTTTACCGACCAGCACTTAAAGCAGACCTGCAAACATAGAAACAATACAATTAATAATAACTAATAGTTTAAGATACGAAGGAAGGTCGATCCTCGTCCATGTGCTTAACGGATGAAAATAATATTTGTTTATAAATATACCGCAAATGGGTTGCCTAAGAATATATTGTCAAGACTATTTATTTTCTTAAAGTAAAAAACACGACACCCTATATACTACCCCCCCAAAAAGCTTAATATTAAAAATTCTTAAAATTAACTGTCATAATATTCAAAATGATCTCCATTAACCTTCATATACCCAGCAAACACACTTACGTACATAAGACGTACTATGTACGTACTGATGGGATGTAAAGTACGTACCATGTACGTACTTTAATGTACGAAGTACGTACATAGTACGTACATAATACGTACATTTTCCAAACGACGGTACGTACCTAGTACGTACTTAAAGTACGTACTTAAAGTACGTACTCTGTACGTACCTAATGTACGTACTCTGTACGTAACTAATGTACGTACTCTGTACGTACATAATGTACGTACTCTGTACGTACCTCATGTACGTACTGTGTACGTACTTAATGTACGTACATACTATGTTTGTACTTATTCCAATAGAGTATATATTTTAGACGTACTTTACATCCTTATTGGTACTTACTTATGATGTATAATGTACGTATTAGTGCAATAAAAAGAAAAGTAGACATGTTAATTTGTATTTATTTAATTTTTTACATTAAAAGAATAATTTAAAATGTTTTGCTATCTTTTTGAAAGTTTTTAGGCTATCATCAGCTCCTCTTAGCCATCTCACAATTTCCTGATCTACAAACTTCCTCTCTTTGTATTTGTTACTTTTTATAGCACCTTCTGCAAAGAAATAATATCAAATTAGAAACTTAACTTTGGTACTTTTTATAATAAACAACATAATAAAAACAATACAACAAAAAGATGTAGAGTAAAGTAAGCGATAGTTTCTACAGCTCAAAATTATCATTGTCAATATACTCCTGGATCTAAATCTCTCTTATTTGTATCCACCTGTTTTGGCCTTATGCCTTTGAAATCCAATTGGTTCCTGCCACTGTTCTAGAATATCGGAACTCCTATATTTCTTTTTGTTAAGCTAGATCTCCATCAGTTTTGAAGTCCAATGGTTGGAAGTACACAATTTCATTAGATACAAAAATAATTGTGACTAGATAGATGGGTTTTAATGCAACGACTTTATGAAAACTGGCATGCAAAAATAAAAAATTAAAACATCTTACCCACTTCAACTGCAGCCAATTATAATTTGTTGCCAGCTTATTAGTTATTAAGGCACCAGCAATAGTCCTTTTGACAAAATCCAAAATTAAATTATTAGGGTCTGTAAAATATCACTTCTTTTGTCTAAAATATTAGATTCATTTCCTTAAACTTTTTTAATTGTTTTGTAGCATTTTTGTAATGTTTACTATGGGATGGGATGACATATCTATAAATTATATTTATTACACATAATTTTTTTAAATTAAAATGAAACCACTCACCAGAATAAAATGGCGAAACTACGTACTTATAACACGCACTAAAAAGTCTAAATAATTGTCTTGTTCAATTATAATAAATTATACACAACTATTTATTTAATGAAACACTTAATAGTTAAATCCTAAACATGAAAAACTAACAAAAACTAGCGAGTTTAGTTTAGAGTTTAGGTTAGGTTAAATAAATTGGGTTTCGTCTTTTTTCTTTGCATTTTTTGGCCTACAGTCAACAGAAATTTGGTAAAAATATAGGTTTTTTAATAAAATAGGTATGCAACCACGATTACGTACACTTAGGTACGTACTTAGTACGTGCTTTTCTGTACGTACTGGTACGTACTGTTGTGTACGTACTTAAAACGTACATTTTACGTCCTGTACGTACAGTACCAAAACTGTACGTACTTAAGACGTACTGTGCTGTTTGGGTAGTGATACAATCTACTGTCAAATGTTTTTTTACATCCGCAAGATCTGCAGAAGAAGTGGAGTATATTTTTGATTTTAGGTGCCCCCACAAAAAGAAATCCAAAGGAGGGAGATCAGGTAATCTAACTGGAAAATGTTCAGATATTGTCGCATGCGAGTATAGAAATATGGGGGCGCACTATCAAAAAATTTCCGGTTTCGACAGTTTCAAAATGAACCAGAGGTTTTAGATAAGAATTTTTTTCTACACCCGTATTATAATAATGCACTTATATGCCCATAATCCGTTTCATAATGATACCCATTATGATACAGATTTTTCATTACGATACAGATTTTTAATCAATAGAAACCTACTATTTTTCAATCAAGCATGCTGTTTGACGTTTGTCCTAGGTTTCTATGTAATTGTTTTAGTTGTCAAAACGTATTAAATTTTCGTAGATAGCTAAACTTCGATAATTATAATATTAAAATGTCTCATATCAGCGATATAGAAGACTCTTCCACACATATCGGAGAAAGCAGAAAATACAGTACAAAATATTTTGCAGCAAAAATCTAGGGAAATACCAATACCCCAAGTAATACCATTAATTACAATTTTGTAGAATTTTTTATAGAAATACGAGTAATTACTGTTATTGTGTTCAATACCAATATAAATATAATATTTATAGGTCTTGATTATTTATCGGGTGTAGAAAAAATAGCGTATGCAACTCTCATGTAATGGTTATTAAAACACTCGCATAAACCATACGAAACTCGCCTTTGGCTCGTTTCGTATCCCGGTTAATGCTCGTGTATTAATAACCATCATTACATGATCGTTGCATAATATACTATTTTTGTAAAAAAAAAATGAATTCTAATTAATTTAACTGCAAAATATTAACCAAATAAAAAGTAAAATTTGTAGCACAATAACTGTAGAATGTATAACAACTTCACTAGAAAATAATTCAACCAAATGTTGTCTTGAAAGAATATAATAAAAGAAGTTATGAGTCATATGAAAAATATCAGCTGATATCAGTTCAAGTCGAAAAAGGATCTAATGTGAGGTAGAAATATATACACTTAAACAAACTTTGGAAGAAAAAGAAAGATACATCAAAAGATTAAAAAGGGATATTCAAAGCTATGAAGATATGGTACTAGAAGCGGAAGATAAATTCATTGAAAAGCTTTCAAATCAATTGAAAGAAATGGAAAATTTAAAATTAAAGCTTGATTCATACGAAAAAATAAATACTGAATGTTCTGAAAAACTTATCACAAAAGATGAAGCTGTGTTTAAATTGAATAAGGATATTGATGATCTGAATAAATTAAGTAAAAATATAGTTACCACGATAAACATTTTGGAAAAAGAAAATGAAACACTCCAGAATGATGCAAAGAAAATTACTAAGGGATATGTCAAGAAGTTGGCAAAGAACCCCGCACAAATCTTATGGAAATTGGCTCCCGGTCAAATTGGCTGAAATTTGGATATGTTGTTCGTTTCGGCATCCTGAGCAAAAGTCTCAATGGGCACAAAGCTCAATTTTGCTTATTTTGGCTCCTAAGGAGCTCCAAAGCTCCATGGATTGACCATTATTTACTACTTAAAAAGGAAATCTCGAAAGTTTAGTATTTGCTGCGTTAAAAAAGAAGTACCTTCTTATGTTTTCGAGGTCGCTGCATTCAAATCCAATACCAATATAATAATATTGACAGCTGTCAAACAACAAGCAGTAATCAAAATTGATAAAATCCACATGTAAATATCTTTTTTTGAGGTTGGTAAGTTCAAAACTGATGTTAACTCGATATTGACAGTTGACGGGCGTCAACTAACTGTCCAACAGTATGTCACAATTAAAATTGACAAAATTCAGAAGTAAATAGATGTCTTGGAGGTTTCTGAGTTCCAAATGTATGTCAAAAAGACGATATTGACAGTGATCAGCTGTCAACTAACTGTCAAACATCATGTGACAGTCAAAATTAATAAAATCTACATGTAAATATATGTTTTTGAGGCAGCTGAGTTCAAAACTGATGTTAACAACTCGATATTGATAATTGACAGCTGTCAGATAACTGTCAAACCGTTGGTGTTAGCGTTACCCGATGTACACCACGTGGAGGTTTTTGTACATCTTGGCCCTGAAAAGGGCCGATTGTTTTATTGGATCTATGGTCTCACGATATTTTTTATCAACCTATTTATAATACAGGACGATATATATCGTCCTATTTTAGGAATAGTTAAAGAAAAATTATCACGAACTCCGATTTGAGTCTTTTATCAATGCATTTAGGAAAATATAATGTAATATTACAGTTTAGTTATTGTGGACGGTTTCTTGCATCTTGAATAGTATTATTAGTTTGACAGTTAGTTGACAGCTGTTAACTGTCAATATTATTATATTGGCATTGTATTTGAATGCAGCGACCCCGAAAACATAAGAATGTACTTCTTTTTTAACGCAGCAAATACTAAACTTTCGAGATTTCCTTTTTAAGTAGTAAATAATGGTCAATCCGTGGAGGTTTGGAGCTCCGTAGGAGCCAAAATAAGCAAAATTGAGCTTTGTGTCCATTGAGACTTTTGCTCAGGATGTCGAAGCGAACAACATATCCAAATTTCAGCCAATTTGACCGGGAGCCAATTTCTTTAGAGAACGAAATTTCTAAACTAGAAGTGTCAAACAAAAATATGGAAAAAGCGCTGCAAAAACTAAAAAATCAGAAAGAAATGATAGGTATTTTTTCCAAAAAATATAACAAGTGTAACTTTTACAAAGAGTCCTAGGCAAATTTTGATAGTGACTGAGACCGGTAGAAGATTAGATAGGGAATTAAGAAAAAGGTATTCCGGAGTAAATATCAAAATTCAGATGATTATAAAACCCGGTTCGCAATTCGTTAGTGTAATAGAAGATGTTGAAAAGTTATCTAGAAATTTTACGGCCCAAGATTTCATCATTGTAATGGCTGGATCCAATGACTTTTTCAATAAACGATACCCTAGTATTAAGAATATAAATTACAATTTAAAAAGTTTTATACAAATAAATTTCATATTTTTATCTGCTTCCAGTCCTAATGAAGAATGCGCCCAATAAGTCTCCAAATTTAATAATAAGTTATTTAGTTTTCTGGAAGTCTTTAATAGGTATCACGAAAGATCTGCTATTTTTTTAAATACCAACTACAATAAAGCTAATAAATTAAACAACAATCAATATCCTGCATATTTGTGGATATTTCAATATTGATTTTTTAAAAGATTCACGAGAAAAAGTTTTATTAGTTGATTTGATGGAGTGTTTTAACTTGCGTTGTTTAAATAGAGAACTAACTAGAATTTATACTGACAAAAACGGTAAAACGTCGCGTACTAAAATTGATTATTTTCTCACAAACTACCTTTCTACATATACGGAAACCGTAATAGACCTCTGTATTGGAGATCATCTAGCAATTGACGTGTCGTTAAATTATACCGGGTGTTCAAATTAAAGTGTTACAGTCAAATACCACCGAAAATATGCATTTTAGAAAAAAAAAGTTTCAGACAAAGGTTTTATAGTTTTTTGGGGGAAATATTTTGGCTAAATTCATTTTTTTGTAGTTGGCCATAATATGGCCATATCGAGGTGGACTTTGTTTTTTTAAATGGGAACCTCATTTTTTTCTTACATATTCTTAAAGTACATAAAAAAAATAAGAAACTTTTGAGGGAAATATTTTTTTTATTGGATTTTTACTTTTTGAGTAATAGCTACTTGAAAATGTTGCTGCGCGAAAAAAAAGTTGGCCATATTATGGTTAGCTATAAAAAACGATTTTAGCCAAAAGTTTTTCCCCACAAAACTATAAAACTTTCGTCTGAAACGTTTTTTTTTATAAAAAGCGGTATATAGATGTAACGCTTTAAGTTGAACACCCGGTAAAAAGGAAAAATGTTATGTAACTGATATCAATGAAAAAAATACATTTTAAAGAGTTATCAGAGGCGAATTTACTTCATCTGCAGCAAAAATAAGTTCTGAAAATTTTAATTCTGTGTATGAATATTTTGATAACATAAATCTTGCCTATGAAACATTCTTAAATATTCTAAATTACTGTATAGAAGTAAATTGTCCGGTTGTCACAAGAGCTGTAAAGACAAATAAAAAAAATAACTGGATAACTCCAGATATTTTGAGGATGGGAGCTGATATAAGGAATTTTGAACTGATTATTGACAGTTTTGACTAAATTTACCCCTAAAATTGTAAATGGAGGAAGAAATAGAAGGGAAGGTAGTTCTTAGCTTCAAGATTATTTTAAATATATTTCATTTGTTTATCTGATATTACTAGTAACGTAATGTACCAAAACATACTGGTACGTAAAAAGTTAGGTACTTACATGTTTAGTTATAATCCCCTCCAAGTGGTGGGCAGTGTATATGGAATGGAAAAGGCATCGGTGGCGCCCTTGCAAAATAATCTTAAGCAGTTCTCTAGTTGCTTTATTTATAAATTTTACTTTAAGTTGAAACAGCCCCAGTACCGCCCTACAGGGTGAACTAGCTATTATTTAATTTGTGAAAAATAATTTCAATCGTTACATTTTTTTTAAAAACTTAGTATAGTACGAAAATATTCGGTGGTTCACGATGTAGGTACAGGACTATTTTTTAAATATTTTTTTTTTGTTAGAGCAGCATTCACGATTTTTTTTTGATACGCCAATGGCTTATTTAACTATCCTACGTTTTATTAATATTTATTGTTTTAAATACTATTTTTAATACTATCACTCAATGTTTTATAATTTTAAATATGCATTTTTTTTAATTAATTTATATTTACACTGTACAATTTTTGGCGATTGAGCGAATGCTGCTCTGGTTTTTATTTTTCGTGTGTTCGTAACGGACCATGCAAAAATCGCGCAGAATATTTTTTTAACTCGGTTAGGTTTAAAGCAGGTTTTGAAGACTTGCTATTTATAATATACAAAGTGTTAAAAATGGTAATATTTTTATATAACTCTAATATTTTCATAATAAAAGAGAATTATTGTATATTAGAATAGAAAAAAGTGAACATAAAGTGAAATATGTATGCTTACTACCAAAAATTTGTATATTATATCTTTTTAAATAAAATTGTTTTACTATTAAATATAGCTTGTCCCCTATCCACCCCTAACGTATGATCATTTCTCAAAGAATCGCCTTGTATAAACTTCATTTTTACCGCACTATCTTCCATTATACATTTTCTTTTTCTCCAAAAATTCTAGTCTCAAATTACTCCACTTTACTTCACTCATTTTCTTTCTCTTTCCCTAATTTGTCATAAATTACAGTCCCTAGCACCTTACAAAAAAAGGTGTCGATTGTTATTCTTCTCCGCGACTTTGCATGGTCCACTTTACACCCTGGTCGATGGTAAATTCTTTGAAATTTCAACAGGGATCATCCTTGACCCTTGACCTCGGATTGCGCTTGAATATATCCTCCAGTGGCGTGGCCAGAGGACCTTTCTTTACGCGGCCCCACCTGCCGCGGCTGAACAGACCCTCTAGGCGTATCTTTAGTCATATATTTTCGCGACCCCTGTAACAAAAAGAAACATATTTTTTTTAAACAATATTTTCTTAATTTTTTTTTAACTAGTAATAACACTAGAAGTCGAAATATAGATTTTTTTAAAAATATTAGTGAGAGAAAAAAATGTTTATTAAAAAAAAAAAGTGCTTTGTTCAGTGGCGGCTCGTGGGGGGGGAGAGGGGGTTCACAGTGACATAATATAGGTATCAGTACAGATGTATGAAAAAAACTTTCAGTGTTTTAAAAAGTTTATAATATACCTTTCTATAGTCTATTTTTATGTATGAGAGAGTAATAAAAGCGTTCGTAATCCATAGGCGTATCACTTCTTTTAGTAGACAGTTAAAATATTTTTTGAAGTTATTCCTCGAGTATACACTTATATTTTCACCTAATTAACCTGCTTATAACTTCTAAACAGCTGAAGGTAAAAAAGTGCAATTTTTTCTAAAATGTTTTATTTTTCCACAAGTTATGTTAAGAACATTGTGTCAAACGGGTTATGTAGGTATAAGGGTTTAAACTTTGACTTTTAAACAACGTTACGTTCATAAATAATAATTTTAATATAAAAACTACTTCTTACCTACAAATCCAAATCAGAATCGAAATCAGAAGATGAACTGTCGCAACCAATATTTACAATGAGTGGCTCGATCATTTCATCAGTAATATTGTCCAACTTACACATTTTCTTTTCTTCTTTAATCGTATGATTTACTGCCTTTTCCCAATTTTCAGGCTTTACATTATTTACAGCCTCCAAAAACAACTGTTTAACATCACTCATTTTAAAAGAATTATTTTTTCTTGAAACTTCTCCCTTTATCTGTGCCCATATCAGTTCAATCGGGTTTACTTCGCAATGATATGGTGGTGATCTAACCACCGTCATCCCACGATTTTTTGCAATTTCATCAATTTCATATTTATTGAATTTCTCTTTATGAAGGAAACACAAATGATACAGTTCTTTTCTAACAGAACCGGGATGGAACTTAATATTCTTTGAATTTAGCCAATTCTGTAAATCTTTTTTTAACCACTTGGTTGTGGGCATTTTTTTTTATAAGTCTCGAGTGATAACTTGCATTATCCATTATTATTATACAGTTCTGAGGAAGAAGATCTATAATTTGTTCGAACCACTCTTTAAAGACATCTGCATTCATGTCCTCATGGTAGTCACCAGTACGAGTAGATTCAAAAGTCAATAAACCACCTTTAACAAAACCGTTTGAACTACCGATGTGTACTATTATTAGTCTGCGCCCCTTTCCTGATGGTGGATTTAAACCAGTAGATAAATTATTTAAAAAAGCCTGTCTTCGACTTATAACAGTTTCATCTTGTCAAAATTTATTTGGTTTATATCCCACGTTGATCCATGTTTCATCTAAATAAAATATATTTCTTCATTGGTTTCTCATTTCTTTTATAGTCCTTAGGTAATTTCTTCTCCATACTACAATATCGCTTCTTTCTATTAAAATAGACTTTCTGGAATGCTTTTTCCATAGAAAACCTATTTCTGTTAAAAGTTTCCATAGTGTGCTTCGACTCATTTCAGGGTAATCCTTATCATCTCGAACCGTGGCAAGAACTTTGTCTACTGTCGGAAATTCTTTTCTAAAGAAGAACGCAAGCACTTTCTTTCGAAGTCTTTCTTTCAAAAGATTTTCTAATTGAAATTTTGGTTTTCTTGGAGCTTTACGTGCTGTTTGAAACTCGCCACATTTCTCTTATTTAACAACTCTGTAAATCGTACCTTGCAAGTTGCAACTAAACGACATTTAGTAAACTGTCAAGAATACACAACTTGGACCTCCTTACTAAATGGAAAACCTATAATCGCATTTTCGGTGAAATTTGTTGGGAAGGTATTTATCTACTTATAATTCGATTACTGTAAGAAATTCTTGGAATTAAAATAAAACAAAATTGGCAAATAGGTACTTATTGAAAATAATCTTAAGATACGGCTATGTAATCTTTAATACACAGGGCTTTTGGCCTGTCCAAACCTGTTTCTATTGTTCTGTACAGCTTATGTTTATAAAGGACCAATAAAAGACCCAAAACTTGTAATAGCTCAGGTACATTTATTACAATTTCAGGAAATATTTAGATTATTCTGTAAAAATATTTAAAATGACCGTACTAAGTTTAGCATTAGAAATACTGTTTTTTACCAATATCTGTACCGTGATCTATATTCTGGTACTGTAAACCCCCAAAATTGTGGTTACGAGCCGCCCCTGGTTTTGATGTCACCTATCATTCCTTAAAGATATTTACGTAAATAAAAAGTTATAAAAAACATTAAATTACTTATGAATCGAAGTTTATAGAAAAAAGAAGAAAATTATTTTCTTTCGAGAAGTATCTTTATAAAAAATTAATATTCGATAAATAATAGTGAATAAAATTGTTTATTTTACAATTTTAAAAAAACTTTATTGCCTCTCATTTTATACATAACAATTTGTATTGACAATTAATGATAAAATTTTCATATGTGGTCGTAGAAAAAATAATGTTTATAACGTGTATACAAGAATTTTTTAAAAGAATGATTTTTAATTTTTTAACAACTAATTTTTATTGTTTTAAAACTACCCCAATTATAGCCCTATAATTAAACATCATTGGATTATTGTGCACTCACCTGTACTCCCTCATTTCATAATTATTGTTCCCGTTGGGATTTTTCGTTTGCGACGGCGGCGACGAGAGTAGCGCCGCACTTTCCGGCCTCACTAGAAGCGATTCCCGTTCGCTTTCGGCACTTTCCGCCCGGAGCGTACCCGGAACCACGCCGTTCACGTTGGGCAGCTCCAACTCTGTTCGAAGTATTCGAATCTTCTGGATCATTTCTCGGATTTCGTAACGCAGAATACCTAAAAAAAATATTTATATATACAGTATGGGCGTAAAGTGTGGAATACATTCATATTTCATGAATGAAGTTGTGAAGAGGAATCCAATGGAAGGTAACTATAGTTCCCCTGGGGTTATTTCGAAAGGATACATTTTCTAGTAAACTTATAACCCTTAAGTAAAGCGTACAAATGTTTAACTGAACTAGTGGTTACTATTTCTGCAGTAATACCTTCACTCGTTATCACTTCTTCGAGTTGTTCCTACAAAAACGTGAATTCCCTTTACAGGCGCTTCTTCTCGATTATCAAGTTACACGACTTTGTCACCGTATTTGTCACTCAAAGTAATTAAGATTGAAGGGTTTCAATTAATTTTGTATAGCAATAGATTTAGATTAATCACTTGATTTCTAATTATCATTCAAATTAATTGAGATTGAAAGGCTTCAATTAATTTTGTATGGGAATAAATTTAGATTAATTAGATAGTTAATTTGTATTTGTCATTCAAATTAATTGGGATTGAAGAGTTTCAATTAATTTTGTATGGTGAGATATTCAGGTTAGGCTAGTTGATTTGTATTTGTCATTCAAGTTAATTGAAATTGAAGAATTTCAATTAATCTTGTGTGGTAATATATTGAAGTTAGATTAATTGATTCTTAATTGTCATTCAATTTAATTGAAATTGTGGATTTCAATTAATTTTGTGTGTTAAACAATTAAGGTTAATTAAATAGTTAATTTGTATTTGCAATTCAAATCAATTCAAATAGAGATTAGCGAGTTTCAATTAAATTTTGTGTGTTTTGAAATTTAGGTTAATTAAATATGTATTCATTAATTTGTTTTTGTCATTTAAATTAATTGTGATTTTGAGCTTCAATTAATTTTGAGTGGTAAGAAATTTAGGTTAATTAGATAGGTAATTTGTATTTGTCATTTAAATTAATTGAAATTGAAGAGTTTCAATTTTGTGTGGTAACATATGCAGGTTAAATTAGTTGATTTGTATTTATCCTTCAAATTTAATTGATATTGGGAGTTCGAATAATTTTGTATAGATTCGTATTTGTCATTCAAATTAAATGAGAGGGTTTCAGTAAATTCTATGTAGTAAGAGATTATTATAAATGTAATTTTGGGTGGTACTACTTGTACTTACCCAGGAAGCACATTTTGAGGAAGGCTAGAACGCAGTAACCAAGTATGGCGAGCAGGGAGGCGGTCGATCTAAGATACGCTAGCAGTCTTTCGTCGCAACCGTTCGTATGATGGAGTTGCTCCGCCTCGCAGGTACTGTTCACCGTCCTTGGCGGTTTGAGGCAGCAGCTGACCGGCAGCTGCATCTGCAGCGCGCTGCTGTTGTAGTCTTCGGGTCCGGTCACGCCGCAGCACGGGTGCTCCGATTGGAGCCTGAAAAAAACATTGTTTTCCTATTAGTATATTCTTAGTATACGAGGCAGAAAAGTAATGAGACTGATTTTTTACTTTAAAAAGTTTTTATTTCTTTCAAACATCATTGTTATCCCCTTCAAAGTAGTTCCCTTGGGCAGCTACGTTGTTCCCACTGTTCGTAGCAGTGCTGGAAGTCTTCAACCGTTATGCCCAGAATTGCAGAGAAATGGTTGACAACGCCCCATGTCACACTGCCCTCTCCATAATAGAATTATTTACCTCAAAGGGCATTCCTGTGATTTCTCATCCATCTTATTCCCCTAACCTCAGTCCCTGTGACTTCTTCCATTTTCCTAAACTGAAAAATGTCCTCAAAGGCCGTCCTTTCGGGATTTTAGAAATCATCCAAACGACTGTAACGGACATGCTGAAAACCATAACGGTTGAAGACTTCCACCTCTGCTATGAACAGTGGGAACATCTCCATCGGTATGTAGCTACTTAAGGAAACTACTTTAAAGGGGATAACATTGATGTTTGAATGAAATAAAAAGATTGTAAAGTAAAAAATCAGTCTCATTACTTTTCTGCCACACCTCGTAGGTATTTGGTGGTAGTATATGTATTCCTGGTATAGGTATTCTTAGTTTAGGTATTCTTTGTATAGGTATTTTTAGAATATTCATTCTTAGTTTAGATATTGTAGGTTTTTAGTATATTCTCTATTCTCTTTTTTTAGCATATTCTTAGTATACACTATTTTTTTAGCATAGTCCTACTATATTCTATTTTTTTAGTGCATTCGTTATATATTCTTAGTATAATCTTATTATGTTGTTAGTAAACTCTTAATCTATATAAGTATATTTGGGTCACAACCAAACGAGTATATAGCCAATATGATATAATCTTTTATTTCAGACATTTTACACTTATTATTGTTGATTTTATTTGTCGAATACCTATTAAATTTATTTAATAACAGTGACGTTTTATAATAATATATAATTCAGTAGGCCAACAAACTAATTACAAAATTAAGAATAGCTTGGTATAAAGTGAAAAACATTTTTATTATAATGTATAAATCTAAAAATAAGCTTAATTATGCAAATTATTTTTATCTGCAAAAATGTACAATTAAAAATATAGCGAGCACGCTACAATTACTGCGTTCCATATTTGACATGCGACTGTATAATTAGTATATTAGAGGAGGCGTATTAAAAATTTAATTTTTAGCACATTTACAATAATAGACTTGATTTATTTTTATAAAGAAATTCTACACCCACTAGGGGGGTAGTTTTTGTTATAAAACGGAAGTTGATATTTTTTTTACATTTTTTATTCAGGGTAACAATAAGAGAAGCCATATATTTGAGACTTCTATCAGCCATCAGCGATCAGTTTGTGATCTTTATTCTACTTATACTTCAAAAATATCTGCTCTTCTGAACTGTCTTCGATTATCTCATCACCACTGGGTCAAAACGACTTGCCAATCGATAAAAAAAGCTATTTAAATATAAACTTTCTGAACAAGAATCATCTACTTCCGTCGTTCTTCAACAAAACTTGTACATTTAACGTATGGATTGATGTAACAACGTAGTAAGAGAAACCAACAAAACACATTCGTAACGAATAAAACCGTCTTTTTTACACGTAAAAAAAAACGCAAAATAACTTTTCCCTACACGCTCACAAACTCCGGCCGTCTAAAAGCATAATCCCCTATCCGATATCAATAAAAATGCAAACTTTTTACAGTAGGTGGAACGAAATGGCAAAAACGACCGGTGACATTTATCGCGATTTGTGTTATTTCGTCTCAGCGGTAAAACATAAGCCCTTCGAATAGCCCGAGATAAGGCCCAGCATTTATACGTCTAGTATAATGGATCTTTGGAAGATTTTATCAAAGGGGAATTTACCGTACGAAAATTTCTCGTGTTAGCAGAATATTAATAAGGCAGTTGTAATGGGAAACTAAAAATTTTTACCAGATAGTACTTAAACATTCTTTATAATATACGTATAAAGTAATTTTAATTTACTAACTGTACATAATCATAAATAATGGAGTATAAGAAGAGCAAAAGTTAAGTTATATGAGAATGGGGTTGTAGCCTGGAATAACAGAACTAATTTAGCTACTACGAGAGCTAATATAAGATTATGTAACAGTAAATTTCAGGAAATGTTGTTATTTTATAACCTTCTAATTCGTATTAGTTGTTCCCAACTCTATTCTTTAAAATAAAGTAATTGTAATTATCGACTTTTAAAAATTTGGAAAGGACACTAAACGTGAACTGATATAGGTTTCCTCTTTATATTCGAGAGATATACAAAATACCTTCTAGAATAATCAAGTTTTTTGGTTTTGAAGACTTTTAAAAAGGCGAAGACGGCCGTTTGGAAGAACTCTTTTCCTTCTCTCGCGGTGACATCAACTTTTCTTTTCCTTAAATATCTTTCTAATTTTTTTTTTATTTATTCAATTAAATCAAATAGGATCGCGGTAATTTGACATCCGTGGTTCTTCTGTTACTAGTGGCATTGAAGAGTGGTTCTAAACCAAGTTCCGCTGAGCTAGCAAACAAAAATAATTGGGCCGTAGCTTTTTCTCTCTCGAGAGTCAGATTTTCGTATCACTTTGGCCCCACGTTGGGCGCCAAAGTGCCGTGACAGTAATGAAATGAAACATATGCTTCCAGAAGTCGATAACAATAAAAAATATAGCCAGTTTTTGCTACTTCTGGTATAGGAATTCCAGCCACCTGATTGGATATTTACTTTTTTAACGAAATTCCGGATATAGGTTAAACGCAGTTTTTTCTGAACTTGATTGCGAGCATTTTTTGTTTAGATGGAAGGGTTAATTTGCAGAAAAAGGATTCTGTCCTGGCGAAATGTGGCATTCAATTCGTTATACAGGGAGACGCAAGATTATGTGCTTACAGATTGAAGAACACTGGGAAATTTTAATTAGATATGGGACGTGCTAGACATGAGGTTAGATCGGTCCTTCAACACTCTATTTGAGTTTTTAATATCAAAAGAATGGATAATACCATAAGGGAACCAAGTGCCAAACGACAGCCACAAATCTGCGGAAGATATAGATTCTGGAGTATTCTCCAAAAATCTAAGCTTAACTATGTATGCAATTGGAGTAGTTTTATGTCTTCTGTGGCACTCCAGCGTTCAATACCGTTGGCTGTCGAATGGCTCCAACTTGCCTAGAAAAATTAAATCACTCTTCTTTTCAGTACTGGTGATTTTAGTCTTGTCAATACTATTCGATGTGTGACTAGGATGATTTTGTAAGGGTTTACACTAGAAAAATTTCCATTTTTCGCAAGATTTGCAGTATAATTAAAATACCTAATATATTGACGAACCTGTTTACTTGACTAAGTTGGTATACCTGTTTAGTGTACAAGCAAACAGCAATTTATCTTGCGCTCAATAGAAATTGCATCTTTGAATTGATTTTTCTGTACTCACCTGTTCCAAACATCGGTAAAATCCTCGTTGGTCCCGTACTCCTGGTAAAACTTGACGCGCAGCGCCGGCCTCAGTTCCTGGCACACCCGTTCGAACCGAAACGCCCAGAAGGCACCGATCGCAACGTCACCGAACAACAGTACTAACAACAACAACCAGTAAGCGTTCAACAGTTTCTCGGACAGTCTTAACGCCGCGAGGCATCCCAGCAACTGGATGGCGCCGCCCTGCGTCAACAGCGCCAAGTAGGCGTACAGGAACGACGGTTGATAAAGCGTGAGCGACGGTATGAGCGAGCGACGAAAGTCGAAGACGACCGTCCTGACGGCCGCTCCGCCGAATGCCAGCGCTCCCGCCAGTAGGGCCGTATTGCAGGTGTAAATCCATAGGCGGTAGTAGCGCATCGCCCTAGCGCCGACCACCGAGGCACCTGTAACATCAATATTTAATTTAATACAGAAACAGTGAAATACAAGTATATATTGGAACAGATTAAACTTTAGACTTTTCTTGAATTTGCAAATATTTTATTTGAAAAAATGCCTCCAATCAAACAACAAAAAAAAAACGACCATAATCTCATGTAAATTTCCATAAGAAATACTAAGGTTCATTTTGTCAATTTTCTCACTAAATTTAGTAACTTTTCAAAATCTAGTAACTTTATTCATATGTTGGTAAAACTAATTTTCTAACTGGATTTTTTTTTAAAGTTGGCAACACTGTTTATTACTAGATTTAGTAACTTTCAAAATCTAATATCTTTCTTCTTCATAGGTTGGTATCACTTATTTTCTTACTAGTTTTTTTATGTTGGCAACATTGTTTGTCACTAGATTTAGTACTAATTTTTTTCTGGCATGACGTTATTTCTCATTTGTCAACTGTCAAATATTTTAGATTTCTAAATGGATGCTGTCATTTATCATCTAAGTAATCTGTTATTTTACAACTCACCACAAATTATCATTATTTTTAATTCTAATAAAAAATATACTAAATTTTGACAAGTTACTAAATTTAATGACAAATAGTGTTGCCAACATAAAAATCAGTAGTGATACCAACCTAAAAAAAAGTTACTAAATCTATTGACAAAATTGATATAAAAAACCTTAGAATTTCTTATGAAAATTTATATGGGATAATGGCTTGAAAAAGTATTGAAAATAGTTTCTATCTCTGCTAATTTCTTTTGACGTAATTCAATACCTGGTGAGAAATTAGCCAAAGGAGTAGTTGTTCTCAAAAGAGAAACGGCCGCACATGTATTGTAACTATGGCTCTGAGAAATATTTGATGTATTTTACATTATATACAGCCAAAATATCAAATAACTGACCCAAGATTAGGAGATAGTGCTACAGTGCTACAGTTTTTATACTTTTTAAATCTCCTATTTTCCCCGAATGACCAGTGTTTTCTGAAATTTTCCTGGTCGACTCGACCGAAGCAGTGTTTCACGGTCGACCATTGCATGCGCGAAACGTAACATTTTAGGTGGTGATTTTAAACAATTATTAATGGTCTCTATAGTTATTAACTGTTAATTCAGAAAATGTTTTGGTATGGTATATAATAAACCTAAAATAAAGTCTATATTGACAAGTATTTATTAAAAGTTTCACATGTAATACCACCTTAAAATTCAGTAATCATGACGATAGAAGCGATTGAGACATCGTCAGTACCAAGACATTGCTTGTCTAACGGTATTTTCGATAGTTCCAGCCATGGTACTATTTCGGCATTTAGTGCCAGCACATTTAGTACCACACTTTAGGGTCACCGTCTGAACGTCTAACTTTGAACTGACGGAGAGCACACAAACTGGAAGAAAGGATCATTTGGTGGGAATTGAAAGGCAATAAGAGATAAGTATCGAGCAACCCAACGGGAGTGAATTTTTAAAAGTTATACCTACCCAAGAAAATTGATCTAATAAAGTAATAGAAACAGAAAAACATTTAGAAGTAATTATACGAAGCATAATTTTGTGTCCGTAGTATACTTATATATTTAAAGCTTACCAGCTGCCGCTCCACCTCCGCCAGTTCGTCTGCTAAGCGGCATTCGCCTCCGTAGCCCCCCCTCAATCCCAGTGCCAGTTCCCATCGCCCCCCATGCACCTGAAACAAGAATAAATATAAATTAGTTAAAATAATTCAAACATTTCGATTTAACATAATGAAATTATTAAATTTTAAAAATGTAACTGCTCTATGTACTCTTTTATCGCTCTGATAAATTTTATAGAGATTTTCTGGCCCTAAACATAATTGCTTCCTATAGACCCTGCCTAGTTCCTCTAGATATTCTAGCTATACACTGGATGGCCTATCTAGACTTGTTCTGGTTCTTTTAGACACTACACTATGTACGGCTTCTATCGACAGTGTCTAAACACTATTTGGTCCTTGTAGACATTGTCTAGTCCTTCTAGATATTTTCCAGAGGGGCCCTGACTGATGATCCTACATTATAGACACTATAATGCCACTATAAATAATATTTAGAAAACGTGCATAATCTAGATCCTTTACTCTCTTTGGCAGTTCTAGACATTCTAAACGTTAAAGATATTGTCTGGTCCTTCTAGACACTGTCTTGTCCTTCTAGACATTGTCCAGAGAGGCCCTGACTGATCCTACACTATAGACACTATAATGCCACTATGAATACTATTTAGAAAATGTGCATAATCTAGATCCTTTACTCTCTTTGGCAGTTCTAGACACTCTAAAGGTTTTAGACATTTGACACATATCAAATGGCATTCTTTCCGAAAGGAATGTGTCGTTTATGTATGAAAAAAGTGTTAGTTCGTGGGATAGTTTGATATGAAAATATATTTGAATTCTCTCATACTTTTCTGTACTGTATATTGGTCAACGTAGAACTATTTTAAAAATGGCTTGGCATCTTCTGACATCGTTACTACAACACACTCTACAATTCTTACCTTTCTTGCATTATTTGAGAGGCACGTCTATAAATCTTTAGTATTTAAAATAGTAGTATTAACTTTGATCTTCAAATTGGATAATTTTCCGGCATTAGCTCTCCTATTAAACTGAACGAGTAACTAGCAAACTTCCGGTTTCTGGTAGCCATTAAGAAAGTTTTAATTGTTGAACTATCAGGTACATTTTAGTCCATAAATTCGAATTCAAATAGTTACAGCAATAAATCCACCGAACGTAACCATCGGCTTGTCGACAGATAAAGGCCGCAACCAAACTGTATTTAAAGCCTCCATTCGAACTCATTATCGGAAAATAACAGAGTTATCATCAAAAAGCGGCATACAGACATTAATTCGCACGGCACTTACACGAAAGTCAGATTTTTGCTACGTTTTGGCACGATGCCGATAAAAATGCGGATGGAATTCCTTCAGCGACGTTTTATTGCAGTTTTTGGCTGTTTATACGAACGCGAAGTATGGAACTTGCACATGCGATGGAAAAGTTTTAAAAAAGTAATATAATTCTTTTTTAGGACGATAATATAAAACCTTTTTTTTAGCATGCATTGAGTAAGCTTAAAACATGAAACGAATATGAACTAATTACATTGTTAGATTTAAAAGGATCAAAAGAGGTTAACGACTGTGTGCACGAAGCCTCAGATACGTAGTCACGTGGAACAATTAAAACAAACTCGTGATGTGTAGCACGAGAATAATCTTTTTGTTTGATGAACAGAAAAACATTATCACAAATTAAAGAAATGTGATTAGAGCGTCTAAATAGTTCTAGAGGGGCTACATAGTATCTAAAGAGGTCAAACAATGTTTTTAGAGGACAAACAGTGTTTAGAGAGGACAAAAAGTGTCTAAAGAGGTTAAACAGTGTCTAGAGGGACAAGACATTGTCTAGAGGGACCAGCCAGAATCTAAAAAGATCACACAGTGCCTGGAGTGGGCCTAACATTGTATATAAAAGTCAAAAAGTGTCTAAAGGGATCAGACAGTTTCCATAGGTGTCAGGCACTATTCAACGAAAACAAACAGTGTCTAGAGGTGTCAAATATTGTCTATATGGGTCAGGTAGTTTCTAAATGGAGCAGTATTTAAATTGAGCAGTATTTAAATGTAGCAGTTTTTAAATAGAGCAGTATTTAAATGTAGCCGTATATAAATAGAGCAGTGTCTAAATGGAGCAGTGCCCAGATGGCTCAGACATTATCTAAATATGTCAGACAGTATCTAAAGGGGCCAGATACTGTCTAAAGGGGTCAAACAGTATCTATGAGTCCCTAGAGAGTTTCTAGAACGTCCAAATTGTTTCTAGAGTAACCAGAAAGTTAATCCAGCATTATAATTTTTAAATGTATTGTTCCTTCTGCTTAGATGTGTCAGACATTATCTAAATATGTTATATAGTATCTAAAGGGGCCAGATACTGTCTAAAGAGGTCAGACAGTATCTATGAGTGTCTAGAGAGTTTTTAGAACGTCTAAAAGTTAATACAGCATTATTATTTTTAAATGTATTGTTCTTTTTTTAAATTTCCTTTGATAAAAAAATGAAAGTCAATCAAAATAAAATGGAGAAATTTCAATTAACTATTTAACAAAAGTAATTAGCTTGCAGCTGAAATTCTCTGTTTTGGAAAATTTTCAATTTTACATGTTTCGCATGCCCCTTAATTGCGGTAATCAGCGATGTGTATGAAATTATAAATCCATTTATTTGATGTAGATGTATTGCATTCAACTGCCTGTTTTATTTCTATTTAAACAGCTGTACATGTAGTGTGGAAAGCTCTGACAGTAGTCGGTATCGGTAATATGCTTTGATAGATATAAATACAATTAAATAGATCAATCATTAAATTACTGGTATTATTAGAAATATTATTCTTTACTGTAGAGCAATGTGTACAAGATTCTCGTAGTGTAGTTTATTTAATATTTTTAATGTAAAAATATTCGAAAGTGGCCTTGTTAAGGCCCGATAATATAGATAGTGTCTAAAGAGGTCAAATGGTGTTTAGAGAGGACAAACAGTGTCTAAAGACGTTAAACAGTGTCAAGAGGGACTAGATTTTGTCTGGAGGGAACACACAGCGTATAGACTATCTAGAGGGACCAGATAGTATCTGAAAAGACCATACAGTATCTAGACTGGGCCTAACATAGTATATAAAAGCCAAAGAGTGTCAGACAGTTTCCATAGGTGTCAGGCACTATTCAATGAGAACAGTGTCTAGAGGTGTCAAATATTGTCTATATGGGGCAGGTAGTTTCTAAATGGAGCAGTATATAAATTGAGCAACATTTAAATGTAGCAGTATTGAAATAGAGCCGTATTTAAATAGAGCAGTATTTAAATAGAGCCGTATTTAAATGGAGCAGTGTCTAAATGGAGCAGTGCCCAGATGGGTCAGACAGTATCTAAAGGGGCCAGATACTGTATAAGGTTCAAATGCGGCCTTGTTAAGGCTCGACAACATAGTTAAGCAGTTGCAGCCAAACGATTTTAACCCTAACACAAGTTTTTGACAACAGATATGTATTTTGTGCTCTAAATAGAAAAACCTTTTTTAAATGTTCAATACACTTTATATTCATAAAATAACCACCATCACCAAATTACATTTGGCGCCCAACGTCGGTAATGTACTTTTTTTTAGAAAACATAAATTTGCTTTAAACCAACTAAAATAAATCTTCTAATAATATAATAACGTGTTTGCCTAATGGCCGATCATGCCCGAGTTGCTAAACTATTAAAATAACGATCTTCAACCAGACCTTAATCAACCGTACTTAATTGTGACAAATTGTAAATATTTTTCTTGGCGAAATGTACATTCGCGTGCTGGCCAACCATTTCCGTTCGGGGCGGACATTATTTTCCACGCTATTTTAACTTTAAAATTACCTGGCTGGGCTCCGGTAGCGCACGTGATTCTCGCCATATATAAGTTACAAAAAAAAAGGAAATGGATGGATGGCCGGAAAAGGTAAAGTCAGGCGGATGAGGTTAAAAAAGTTGGAAATGTGCGGTTTATAATTTTCATATGCGAAAATGAAAAAAAGTAGTATACAGAGTGGTGAAAATTTAATTCAAAACTTAGTAAATTCGTTAAATATTATAGATAATATTTATTCAAGAAAAAATACAAGTTACAAAGTAATACAAAGTAATACTCAATAAGTGCCAATAAGGAAATTGTATCAATATTACATCTGTGTTGTAGATAATAGACCCCCTTAACCCTCATTTTTAATCTATTATTATCTATATATATGCAGTGACTTTTACATTTATTTGAATCTGGTATTTCATACTGTTGAATGTTTTTTCTTATCAACTTTGAAATTTTATTCCTTGAGGTACCTTAACTTTACAGATAATTTTTTTGTGAGAATTATACGGCTTATTGATTGATTTTTATCGAAGAAATAATCTTTCTAGTAAAGTAATATGCAGATTTTATTTTTAAATAATAAATTGCGGAATTTATAATACATATTAGTGAATTTTATCGGCATTATTTGTAGTAGTGACACCAGGTATATTTTTTTTTTTGATTAGGAGTAATGAAATATTTGTCGTGTTGTACCTACAATAAATTGTAGATATTAATTAACGTTAGTAGAAATTCATCATTAATTTGTTAGAAATATTTTTTTTGGTTTATGCTTGATTAGAATTTTAATCGTATGCGAATATGTTATCTAGGTTTATGGTTTGATAGTTTTTGGATACTAGAAAATATTTTTATCGCGAAATGATGTTCGTTGAATATTTTATCTATTTTATCATGTTTTCTGTTGGTTATTATTTATCTCGCATCATTAATGATATAGTAAATGTTTTTTTTTATTAATTATGGATTTTAATCAGAAGTTTAACACGTTGGCTGCCGTTTTACAATAGATTTGAAATTATGGCGGTAGATAATGATAAATATCCAACTCGTTTTAAATCTAATCTAATCTAACTTCAGTGAGACCAATCACGAAGGTCATTGCCAGGATTATAGTAATTTTATATAATATGTTAGTCATTATTATTAGTAATAGTAATCCGTTTTCTTATTTTCTTTTCATTCTCTTTCACAGTATCCAGATCGATATCTCTGCCTAATAGTTCGACTAGACCTCTAACCTCAAAAACACTTTTTACGCATACGGAATTTCCAGTTAAAACATTCGCCCAAGATATATGAGCCGAAGGGAGATTTACGACTATATCGAGTT